CCAGCACTCGGGAGGCAGAGCCAGGCGGATCTCTGTGAGTTCGAGGCCAGCCTAGTCTCCAAAGCGAGTTCCAGGAAAGGCGCAAAGCTACACAGAGAAACCCTGTCTCGAAAAACCAAAAAAAAAAAAAAAAAAAGAATTTAAGCTAGCTGGGCTAACTGGGACTCAATTGTTTTTTTTTTTGTTTATTTTTAAGATTTATTTATTTATTACTTATACAGCATGTATGACTGCAGGTCAGAAGAGGGTATCAGATCTCATTACAGATGGTTGTGAACCACCATGTGGTTGCTGGGAATTGAACTCAGGACCTTTGGACGAGCAGTCAGTGCTCCCAACCTCTGAGCCATCTCTCCAGCCCTCAATTGTTTTTCTTAATCATTAACCTAAGCCACAGTCTATAAGGCTCCTCAATAGAAACTCATGTGTTGTAGCAGTGTGACACTTCCTTGTTTAGATTTTTAATCATCAAAATTCTATTTAACATTATTATTATCAATTAGACGGTACAGCTTAAGAAGAAATCATCTTCATAGTAATCCACAGGTAAAAATGCCCAGTAGAACGGGATGTTTCCATGAGATAAACACACTGCATCACAGGCTGTGTGGATCTCCCCACACCCATTCACACCATGCCAGATACCAGAGGAAGATGGCAGGGGCAAACATGTGAAGGCACAGCAGAAGCAAATGGCACTCTGGGGTCTGTGGTCTCCGGGCCTTGCCTATCTGAGATTCACCCATCAGGGATTTTCCTCCTGGTGGGCTGACGCCCTGAAGTCAGTTGCCACCTGCTGCTCCTCTGACATGGCCACTGGCAGTCCAGAAGGGTCTTGTCTAAGGAGGATGGTTCAGGCCCCAGGACTGGCTTTGTGCTTTCCATCTTCTCAGAGGAAAGGCTTTTACTGTATCACTCACATCGCTCTCATTAATAAAGCAGAAGACACATGGAATGCCCATTGTGCATAAGCATTTCTAATCCTCTCAGTGTATTATTTCACCCAGTGATGTCCATCTGAACGGTGTTACTGTTCTCATTTTACATCTGAGGGAGAGAAAACCGAGACAGGGTTGACATCACTGTTATAGGGAGAAGAGCCTGGATGTAAAGCCAGGCACGCCTTACTACAGGAGTCTGGTTCCCTAATCTTGGTCACCAGAAGAGGCCCAGAATGACAGACCCAACACCTCAAACAGGCACTGACTCCAGGATGTACTCCGGATCCCACAGGAAGAGCTCTCAAATCTGACCACTCATACTTGCCCTCTAGGTGATGGTTTACTTCAGTCTGCACAGGGGTGGACTGTACCAGCCCTGTTGTGCTATCTTTAAAGATTTTTTAGAAGATTTATTTATTTTTATTTTTATGTGTATGAGTTTATCTGCATGTATGTATATGCACTATGTGAGTCCCTGGTACCCACGGAGGCCGGAAGAGGGCATCAGATCCCCTGGAACTAGAGTTACAGGAGCCATTTGTGTGGATGCTAGAAACCCAACCCAGTTCCCCTGAAAAAGCATCAAGTGTTCATAACTGCTGAGCTATCTCTTCAGCCCCCATTCCCTGCTGTGCTCTCATTCATGTGGGATCTTCATGTTCTAGGTAACATGTCTTTTCCTGATCAGTGCCAAGATTTCAGGGCAGCATAAAGCCAGCTAAGCTTTGTCAACACACAATAACATAAAGCCAGCTAAGCTTTGTCAACACACATAACAAGACTTGGCAAGGCCTAACTTGCTTGGCTAGTAGATATACAATGAAAGACTTTTAGACTTGGCCTCTCACTCACATGTTCAGATGAAGGGTGCACAAAGGTTTCGGGCAGCTTCTTGGGGTTCTATTCTGTTCTTTTCTTTTTTGGTTTTTTGAGAAAGGGTTTCTCTGTGTGGCCCTGGCTGTCCTGGAACTCAGTTTGTAGAGCAGGCTGGCCTCACCTAGATCTACCCGCTTCTGCCTCCTGAATGCTGGGACTAAAGGTGTGGGCCACCATGCCCGGTGTCTCTCAGGGTTCTTGCCCTGAACACTGGTACAGACAGTGCTGGGACAAAAAGGAGATGTGGGCTATGGGACACCTCATCCCTGAACAGCCAGATCTAGACTGCACTAAACAGTTGTTATGCTCTTGGCAAGGGAGAAAGCAAGCCACATAGGCCAGAGGAAACTGCAGGGAGAGAAGTATCTTGTGAGCAGGGGAAACTGCCAGGAACTCCTCCACCTCACAAACCTCCTACCCTCTCTACTAAGACCCAGATAAGCTCTGGCTGGGCCCTTTGCTCTGTAGCTGTGTGGGTGTGGGTGATGGTGCCAAGATGCTGTACTGAAGACAATGCCCTACGGCCTCATCAGAATCTGAGGGTTGTCTACAAGCCTAAGCACCTTTGGTGGGAGGGCAGGCTTGAGACAGGGTCTCTCTCTGCAGCAGGCTTTTCTGTATACACCAGGCTGGCCCCCTCTCACTGTTTGAGATCACAGGGTCTCACTCTGCTGCAGGCCTTTCTATATACACCAGGCTGGCCCCCTCTCAGTGTAACTTCATACTCAGAGCAGTCCTCCTGTCTGGTTTCCCAGGAGCTGAGCTACAGGTTCAAGCCACCACACCTGCTGCTAAGCACACATTCTACCACTGAGTTCCTTTCGTAGCCAAGTGAGCGTTTGTTCCTCTAAACTGCGGTAGAGAAGAGAGAAAATAAACCGAAAACTCGGAGTTAAGTCGCCCAGACAGGTCTTGAACTTACAATCCTCCTGCCTCAACTTTCTGAGTACTGGGATTACTAGCCTGTACTACCAGGCCTGTCTTCTAACTGCACAAAAGTCAGGAAATTTGTCCTTTTTTCCTCACTCTTTGTGGCCCAGGTTTTAGAATAGTGTCAGCACATAGCGGAGACTCCATGAGTGTGGAGGAAGCACAAGACAGCTCCAGGTATTCTGATAATGAGTTGGGCGTGAGTTTAAAGTCTTCAAACCTGTTCTCAGGTCAGAAATTTCCTAAGGGATGCTTAGAGAAAACCTCTGTCCACCCTTTCAGGGAGCTCACCATCAAAAAACTCAACACTAAGAACTCATTCAGCCTTAAGGTGGGTCAGCACACACTGTGCAGTGGGACATGGTGCCTTGGGTCATTAGTGCCATTACAATAGTCCCAACGACACTCAACTCCCACACACAATAGTAACAGAATGGGGGGGGGCTCAGCTTCTCCACTGATCTGGTCTCCTCCTCCTACTTTCCCAGCTATCCTTACCCTTAGCTAAGGTATGATGTAGATTGGGAAAGAAATTGTGGGTCAAGGGACCTGCCTCCGACTATAACAGCCACCCTTGGGCCTTATTTCTCCATTTTTTTTTTTTTTTTTTTTTGGTTTTTCGAGACAGGGTTTCTCTGTGTAGCTTTGCGCCTTTCCTGGAACTCACTTGGTAGCCCAGGCTGGCCTCGAACTCACAGAGATCTGCCTGGCTCTGCCTCCCGAGTGCTGGGATTAAAGGCGTGCGCCACCACCGCCCGGCTTATTTCTCCATTTCTAATGTATCAATATCATAGACATTGTTCTCTTTCATTGCAACTAAGTGACATGTTGTTACCTGTTTTACAGAGTGGACCCTGGCCCAAAAAAAGACTGGATGGCCTACTGAAATCTTTTACATTAAAAGACAAATTTCTCTATCCAAATTCAGTTTTTTTCCCATCATAACTGTGAAATGCTGTTGTCTCCAAAGCCGTAGCCTCTCTGTCTCTGTCATCTCAAAAAGGCAGGAATTTTTACCTTTTGGCTTTCTGCTTTAGTGTGTGTGTGTGTGTGTGTGTGTGTGTGTGTGTGTGTGTGTGTGTGTGTGTGAGAGAGAGAGAGAGAGAGAGAGAGAGAGAGAGAGAGAGAGAGAGAGAGAGAGAGAGAGTCAGATAGACAGACAGCAGACAGACAGTCACAGACACACAGAGAGGCAGAGAGGCAGACACAGAAACAGAGAGAGAGAGAGAGAGAGAGAGAGAGAGAGAGAGAGAGAGAGAGAGAGAGAGAGAGAGAGAGAGAGAGAGAGAGAGAGAGAGAGAGAGAGAGAGAGAGAGAGAGAGAGAGAGAGAGAGAGAGAGAGAGAGAGAGAGAGAGCTCTATGTAGAGGTTGGATGACAGCCAGAGGGAGCCGGTTTTCTCCTTCGGAAACCTTGTGGGTCCCAGAGATTGAACTCGTCTCCGGGCTTGGTGACAAGTGCCTGTACTTGCTAAGCCACCTCACCAGCCTGTAAACAGGGAGTTATCTACTTTGAGTTGGCAATGTAGATATGTTGACGGTATGATGGGGTGAATACTTGCTGATTCCTTCCTGCCTTCACCTTTTCTGGGTTTTTCTTCTGGTCGAGCAATCTACTTGACGCGCCTCCTCCGGCCGCTCGGTGGCGCTGTGGGGCCCGGTCGCGCGCAGTGGCGAGAGTCCTCCTTCTTGGTCCGGCCGCTAGCCTTCCCCCGTCGGAGGGCGGGGCTCCAGGAACCGGAAGTGCCGAGGCCTCTGCCGCCGTCTCGGTCGCCGCCGCCTTTAAGCCCCTTCGTCCGCCGCCTGGGTACCGCCGGTGCCGCCGCCGAGGAAGCTGCTGTGGCCCAGACGGGAGCGGAGGCGGCGCGGCATGAAGCGGCGTAGGCCCGCTCCATAGCGCGTCGGGACGGTTCGGGCGGGCCCGGGGGAAGGTGCAGTATCCGCCCGCTCTCCCTCCCCTGCGCCCGCGAGGCCGCGGTGCTCCGGCCGGCCGCCCTCGGGCCGCTCCCGTGGGGCAGAGCGGGTGGCTGGGCCCCGCTAGCCGGAAGAGGAAGCGCAGACTCGGATTGCGAGGCCGCCAACGTTCGCTAGGCGCCCCTGAACGCTGGCTGCTGGCTGCTGCCCGCTCGGACTCGCACGTCCGTTATCTTGATAGAGCCTGGCTCGGGTTGGGATGCCGGGGACGGTCCGGGCTTACGGAGGAGGAAACGGAAGTCTGCCAAGGCGAAGGGGTTCGCCTGAGGTCCGCCAGTGGCGGATGGGATTCGCCTCCGGACCCCGCTGCCTTTCCCCAGCCGGTGTTCCTTCCTCCCTCCTGCTTCACTCTAGATCCATTCCTCCGCGCTCACTGTCTCGCTGCCATTCTGTTCCACCCATCCATTCGCAGCAGGGTCCTTGCCCTTCCTGTCCAGCTTGCTCATCCTCTTTATACTAAGCCTTGGTGTTCTTGCTGTCCTTCCTTGCCACATTCCCTACCACACCCCTCCTCCTTCCTCATTCATAGCTTTCAAGCTCTTTGCCTCCGATAAACTTTCTCAGTTGTAGACGCCGAAGAGTGAAGTAGCTCGGCTCCAGTGAGGTGTGCAGAGTTTAGGCGACTGATTGGCCCTTACCGTAAAAACTATGGGATGCCATTTCAGGGGACCACACCCCAAGACTCCCAAAGCTCTTTTAACCCAACATACCAATCTTGGAGTGAGAGGCTTTGCACTTTGAGACGGTTTCTTGACTCAGTCTGTTGCTGCTATCTGGCATTATTTTTTACCCTCCTCTTGCCACATAGCTTTTCAAACCTTTCCATCACCTATGTGGAATGGGGAGCTTGGAGTCCAAACTATTAACAAATAAGATGTAATCACACACAATTCTAAGCTAGATTATCAACCAGCTTAGTGATTATTTTTCCAGAAAAGCTACCCATCTCACTTGAAAAAGAAGGCCAAAATGGGATGCCCTTAAAATGAATAGGGCATCTACCTTGTCAAGAATTCTAGCTGAGTATGGTGGTACATAGGTGTAACCCCAGCATTTGGGAAGGTGAGGCAAGAGGATGTTGAGTTCAAGGCCAGTCTTGGCTACAGAGTGAGACCGTGACAAATGAACACAATTTAGATGATTAAATTCAAGTTCCCTTTCTGCAAAAGAAAAACGAAAAAAAAAGCCTATAATGCACATTTTTTTACTGTACTGAATTTATTCTGTCACCAACTCAATATGACATCATATAAAAGGAACATAGGCGCATAGAAATAAATATCTTTGTGTATGTGTGTGTGCTTGCGGCTCTACACACACACACACACACACACACACACACACACACACACACACACGTCTTGGGGATCGTGTGGAAGTCGGAGGATAACTTTTGGGAGTCAGTCCTCCCACACTACACTTTGTTCAGACAGAGTCTCAATTGCTGCATACTCCAGGCTAGCTGACCCTCCAACCTGGGCCCATTCTATCTATTCCTTCCTTACCACATTAGGGATGCTGGGTTTACAGATTCGCCAACGCTTTCCTGGCTTTCAGGGGATCCTCAGGCTTCTGCCGCAAGTGCTTTTATCTTTTAAGCAATTCCCTGGCCCTAGAAATAAATGATATCTGCCACTCTCAAGGCTTTACAACTTGGCACCTCACATCTATTTTCAATTTATCATTATTTCCAATTGTGTGTGTGTGAGGGTATGTACATGTGAGTGCAGTTCCTGTAGAAACCAGAGGTGTTGGAGTCCCCCTTAGAACTGGTCTGAGGTGGTTGTGAACAGCCGGAAGTGGGTGCAGGGACCGAAGTTGGGGCCTCTGCACCAGCATTGCTTGCTCCTGACGGCTCCAGCCATCTCCAGCCCACTGAAGCAGTTTTTCAAGCCCTCCTATAATTTTCCCTTTAATGTGTCTGGGCATCAAGATTTACATTATTGTTAGGACTTAACTTCTCAATTTGAGCCGTGCATTTCTGGAAAAAGTAATTTTAGGGCTGGGCTTGTTAGCAAAGGTCTATAAATTCAGCACTCAGGAGGCTGAAGCAAGAGGACTGAGAATTCAAGACCTGCCTGGGATTTGAAAGACCTATCCAAAAAAAAAAAGTATTATATATATATCTGTATATTCATACACACAAACATGGTTTTGATAAATTGGAGACCCAAAATAATTCAGGCATTACATATTACACTAAAAGGAAATTATCAGTTAAATATCATTTGGGGATTTTTGGGCTTACTTTTTGGCCATATATGGTCTATTTTAATGATCAATCTCTTATCTGGAAGCAGGATTGGATGGTGAGAAAAGGAAAGATTCCTGTGAGAAGAGATCAGGATGAACGGAGAGATCTGTGTTTAAAGTTGGGCCAGGTGAAAATGATCTCTTTGAAAGTAGAGATCTGAGCAGATGAAAATACAACCAGGTAGGCACCAGGGAAGACCCACAGGTGAAGAGGTTGGTGGGGCAGTGAAATACATGCACTGTGCTGGGAATGGATTGGACCCTGTTTGAGAAAATTTAGGCCACGTGTTTTGAGAATGTATTTGTATATAGTGTCAGGGAATTCTGGAAATTAGTTACACATTTGTGCAAATTGCACAATGTCTATTGTAGAAAGGACAGAATAAATATTTGCTGTGAACAGAGTGGCAGAATGTCATTTGAACTATACAGTGTGTATATATGTGGAGACAAATAGCACAGTCCATTCAGAAATTTCCAGTTTTTAAATAGGGGCTGATGTAAGTTTTTACAAAGAAAGATTCTAAAGTTGGTAATGACTCCAGCTGAGCAATAAGGCTCTGGAAGTCTGTACTGAGCTGCTCTGTTCCTCGGCCTTGTACTTGTAAGGGATGGAGTGGAGATGGGATTTCACACATGAGAGAACTGAGTCAGATTAGTGTAGATTCTTTTAATTTTAGTTCCTTGCTCCATCAGAAAACTAGGTCCTTTGACATACTCTTGATTGAAAATAGGCCTCCACTAGCTTCAGGTTGGTCAACAGCCACCACTGCCACTTGATACTCTGAGTCCCGGTGGATCTAAAAGCTCAGTTCTCTGCTGGATTTTCATTAGTGGAGCCTTGGCTACCCAATGATGAGAGTTATCTGATATAACAGTATTTGGACTACTCTGCTTTGTCATTGTTCTATTAGAAGTGACAGTATCATGCACTGTGACAAGGAAAACGGTACCATGTCCCATGTGCACAGTTCAGTACTTTTGCATACCAGTAATACAAATTAGATGGACTGACTCACAGCCCACAACTTCCGGTAACTTGCTAGAGGGAAGGTAACTTCTTAGTGTGAATTGATGTTAACCTGCAAAGCTGAGCTTTAAAAGAACGACATCGTCTTAAATACACAGCCATGTATTGATTGTTGAAGTAGTTAATGATTATGTGAAACGCAGTTACCTAAGTAGTTTGCTTTCTTTTGTGGAACTGGGATTGAACTCACCACTGAGCTACATCTCTACATGGTTCTATGACAGCTTTTTTGTTGTGGTTAGTTTTCTCTGATACTCTGCTCATGTTAGTTTAAATATCAGAAAAGATCAAGGTGGAAAGTGTTATCTTCTGGGTTTGTAAAATAAGTACAATCAGTTCTCAAAGCTCTTAAATAATTATAGTGTTGAACTGGTAAATTGGGTTCGGACTTATAAAATGCTGATGTGAACGCCATATGTCTTCTTCATTAACTGCTTCAACTAATTAAAGCCACTTAAAGGTAGTATATTTTTCTTTTTTGAACAGGATAAAAGTTACATAATCAGGAAGGCTAGTCTTGCAATCATCAGTAAAACATTAAATACTTGATACTGTCTAGAGAAGAGCAAAAGGTTCAGAATGTATCAGTCTGTAAGTGTTTAGTTGTTTGGAGTCCTTCCCTGCAAGAGAAAACACTGTATTTCCTTAGGTTACTTCCCTAGTTATAAGTTCATTGTTTGTAGCAATGTTGTTACTATTCTAATTTGTTACACTTTAGAAACAGCAATCAGCATTTGTTAGAAGTGTTACTTTTTAAAATGCAAAAACACTTACCTCCCTTGGCACATAGCTTCGGTATTGACATGCTCTGGGGTGGAATGTAGCAGCCAACTGGCACATGGCCTGTTTCCTTCCAGTGTGGGAAAGGAAAAGGAATTTTGGCAAGAGATACTCAAAGGAGAGCCTTTTATAAAAAGTTCCTGGAGGGATTTATAGTCACTGTGAAATTGACATGACCTCAATTTTTAAAAAATCTTTTTGGAACTGAGCACAGAGGTGGGGGTGGGGGACACCACTATTGCTTTTCTTATTAGGTTTCATTGCAGCTGTGTTGAAAGGCTTGTTACTTACTTACTTGTTTGTTTGGGGTTTTGGCCCTGTCATTGTGATAATGTAACAGAAGACACCCCTGTGAATGGCTTCTTGTATTGTGTTTTCCCAGGAAAATGCAACATGGCAGCAGCAATGGAAACAGAACAGCTGGGTGTTGAGATATTTGAAACTGCAGAGTGTGAGGAGGGAACTATTGAATCACAGGATCGACCTAAACTGGAGCCGTTTTATGTCGAACGATATTCTTGGAGTCAACTAAAAAAGCTGCTTGCTGATACCAGAAAATATCATGGCTACATGATGGCTAAGGCACCTCATGATTTTATGTTTGTGAAGAGGACGGATCCAGATGGTCCTCACTCAGACAGGGTCTATTATCTTGGTGAGTATGAAGTTGCACTTTCAGAGAGGAGGCATTTTCTCAAGTCAGGACTAACTATAATTCAGACTCAATTTCAGTAGTAAGCAAATATGAGGCTCGTTTCCTTTAAAGGAAAAAAAATCACTTTTAATTTGAAGAACTTCTGTTCAGTGGATATATTAATTTTGATTCATCTCATTAGCTATATTTTTACTTACAGGCAGCAGATAGTTGACCATGATCTTTTTGACCAAGTCAAATTTAAGCCAAGAATTGATTCTTCCTAAAGCTAGTTTGAAATGCCTTTCCTTGAGAATGGTCAAATGAGGACAAACTGTCGACCCTTTAGCATGTTTCCATCCTTAGCAGCTGCAGCTTTCATCATTTTAAACCAAGCCTCGGTCTCTTCTTCCCGAGTCCATTTATCCCATGTTTAAGATCTGTCTAAATTACAAAAAAAAAAAAAAAAAAAAAGCCGGGCGGTGGTGACGCACGCCTTTAATCCCAGCACTCGGGAGGCAGAGCCAGGCGGATCTCTGTGAGTTCGAGGCCAGCCTGGACTACCAAGTGAGTCCCAGGAAAGGCACAAAGCTACACAGAGAAACCCTGTCTCGAAAAACCAAAAAAAAAAAAAAAGATCTGTCTAAATTAAATATAGTAGTCCACTGTTTTAATGGTTTTCCTTTTTTTGTGCTGGAGATTGAACTCAAGGCACTGTGCATGTTAAGAACACATCCCACCACTGAGTTACACAATAGCCTCTTTGAGCATTCACTCCCTCCCCCCATTTTGCCTCCTGTATGTTGTAATTACAGATGTGTGTCATTATGTCCAGCTCCTAATTCTCTTTCTTTTTAAAAAATTTAATTAAATTTATTTGTGTGTGTGCGTGCACACATGTGCATGTACATACCACAGCCCTCATGTGGACGTTGAGGACTCCTGTGGGAGTTAGTTCTGTCCTTCTACCATGAGGCTCTCAAAACAATGGAACTCAAATCGTCTGGCTTGGCAGCAGGTGCCTTTCCCTCCTGAGTCATCTGGATGACCTCTCCTAAATTACTTTTCTATTTTAAAAATAGGTTCCCACTGGATGTGGTGGTACACTCTAATGTCAGCACACAGAAGAGACTTCCGCAGGAGGTTCACAAGTTCAAAGGCAGCCTGGGCTACAAATAACAGGTCCCTGCCTCAAAAGAAGTCCCCTCCTTCCGAGTTGCTGCCCATTAAGTTTCAGCCATTCATTAGCATTACGTGTGTGTGAGACATTTTCTAGGGAGTCCACAGCATGATTGAAGATTGGTTCTTTTTAACTTTCAGAATATTCTAGTATATAATCATATACTAGATACATTGAACTTCACCAGGCCCCTCATAATGAATCCCCCACTGTGTGTGTGTGTGTGTGTGTGTGTGTGTGTGAGAGAGAGAGAGAGAGAGAGAGAGAGAGAGAGAGAGAGAGAGAGAGAGAACGGGGCTGATCATCTACTTTTAACGAAAAGTCGAGGCAGTAACTGTCATTGTATTAGTCATTCCTGAAAGTGGAATTGCTTGAACCAAGTGTATATTCTGAATTTTTATTGATACTGCTGAATGTCTCCTATAAAGAGGCTGTAGAGTTTATATTTCCATAAACATTGTCTCTATAAGATCTCTAACTCACTGTGTAACAGATGCTGGCCTTGAACTCCTGACCCTCCTGCCTCCACCTCCCACATACTGAAATCACAGTGAAACACCACCATACCAGTTATGATACTTTTTTTTTTTTTTTAAATCAGGGTCTCACTATGCAGACCTTGTGAGACCAGGCCAGGTCTCACCTGGCTGGCCTTGAACTGAAGGTGAAGAGATCTGCCTGTTTCTTCCTCCTCCTCCCAAGTGCGAGGATTAAAGGCATGTGCTACCACACCAGCCCAATTGTGGATCTTTTTTGTTTTTCTCTTTCTCTGTGTAGCCCTGGCTGTCCTGGAACTCATTCTGTAGACCAGGCTGGCCTCAAACTCGGAGATCTGCCTGCTTCTGCCTCCCAAGTGCTGGGATTAAAGGTGTGAGCTACTACCACCCAGCTACTATACTTTTATTTGATACTCCAAAGATATTGTACAATCACTTTATAATGGAAAAAAAACTGGAATTAAGTTGAATTTTTTTTTGTTTCTAAGTACAATTTAGATAATTAAGAAAATAAAGTTAAGAAAGAAATTTTCTAATCTGGAAATCTCATCTATTATTTACCAAAACTAACAGCAAAATAATTCTTATGTTGTCTTATATGCTTTGATAAGTTTTGTCTTTAGATGAACTAAGATATGAATATCAAGGCTGGAGCAATGACTCAGTTATCTGACTTAAGTAAGGTTAGGAGTACTTGCTGCTTTTCTGTAGAACCCAGGTTCAGTTCATAGTACCCACATCATCAGGTGCCTCACACCCTCCTATAAGCTCCAGAGATTGTTGAGCACCTTCACACATATGGTACACATTTATGCATACACGCATGCATGAGTGTGTGCCCACATGCTCATACACACACATATAAAAATCTTAAAAAAAGTTTAATATCAGCGCGAAGCATTTTTTTGTGACACTTTGGGAAGTATGGTTTTTTTTTTTTTTTTTTTTTTTTTGGTTTTTCGAGACAGGGTTTCTCTGTGTGGCCTTGAACTCACAGAGATCCGCCTGGCTCTGCCTCCCGAGTGCTGGGATTAAAGGCATGCGCCACCACCGCCCGGCGGGAAGTATGTTTTTATGTTTACCTCTTGCCTAGTTTTTTGACTGTCCATCTGCGCAAACTGGCCTCTCACAGTCCTGCATTCGTGAGAGCTGAGACTGTAGACGTGTGCCCTGACACCATAGAACCTTTGTGAGCTGGTTGTTCTTTTCCTTACTTAGTGTTTTTGAGACAAGGTTTCACTTAGCCCAGGCTGGCCTCAAACTCCAGATTCTCCGGCCTCTACCTCCTGAGCTCTGGGACTGCAGATGTTTGCTGCCATGCCCAGCTTGAAACATTGCTTATATTCAAGAAAATTTCCAAGGCATAAAACATGTGCACACCCTACTTAATAACATTATTTTGGTTCCTGTGGAATGGAAAACATTGTAATGTATAGAAGATGTTATGTATTTGTGACTGTTGTTGTAATGAGGACAGTATTACAAAATGGTAATACGTTGTGGGTTTGTTTTTCCCCCCTTGTAGCCATGTCTGGTGAGAACAGAGAAAATACACTATTTTATTCTGAAATCCCTAAAACCATCAACAGAGCAGCAGTCTTAATGCTTTCTTGGAAGCCTCTTTTGGACCTTTTTCAGGTTGGAACAAATATTCTTCTTTCTATGATTTAGTATATATTTCTTCATTTATTTCAGGGCAAAAATTTTTCTAGGCCTTGAATGAAAAAGAATTAAAATATTTCATTACTTTTACATGTGTGAACTTTAAATTAACCAGTTCTCTGTATCTAAAACCATAGGATATTACAATTCAAGTTTTTGGTGTTTTGTTTCATTTATTTTAAACATTTTAGATTCCTTTTAGTTTTGGGGAATGAATGCTTGCCTGTATGTATGTCTGTACCATGTGCATGATTGGTACCATAGGTGGCAGAAGATGGCGTTGGACCCTTGGAACTGGAGTTACAGATAGTGTGAGCCATCTGATATGGGTATTGGGAATCAAACTCAGGTCCTGGAAGAACAACAAAAGTTCTTAAACACTGAGCCATCTCTCCAGCCCTATTTTGTTTGTTTTTTGAGACAAGGTCTCGCTGTATATCCCTGGCTGGCCTTAAAGCTCCCTATATAAACCAGGTTGGCCTCAAACTTCTGGTAATCCTCTCATCTCTGCCTTCTGAAACTTGGTACACGCCTGTAATCCCAGTACTTGGGAGGTATGGAGGTAGAAAGGTCAGAAGATCAAGAGTTTGAGGCTAGCCAGTACCCCACCACACACACTCACAACAGTCTATTCTCTTGGCTTGCCTAGAGTATGCTGGCTGCTATGTTCAGTCCCTACCAAAGTAGCTGGAGAGATCCCTGCTCTACAACTAACTGTATGCAAAACTACTGAATTATGCTTAGACTGTTGGGGGCCTTGACTACTAAGATGATGGATTTTATTCTTGTTTTCTAATGTATGCAATAGTGATTAAATGGTTCTTCACTCAAAATTTCAGGAGAGTTTCTGAAATTAATCTGCTTAGAGTAGCTGGTAACTTCTGGGTCATTCAGGGCACAGACTTAAGCACTGGAGGGATGCTAGAGTTCCAGCGAGTTGCGACGACCAGTTCTCAGAGGACTGGGATGGATGACTTTCCTTTTGTCTTAGGCGACACTAGACTATGGGATGTATTCTCGAGAGGAAGAGCTCCTCAGAGAAAGAAAGCGCATTGGAACCGTGGGAATCGCAGCTTACGATTATCACCCCGGAAGTGGAACGTTCTTGTTTCAAGCTGGTAGTGGAATTTACCATATCAAAGATGGAGGCCCACATGGATTTACGGTAAGTTGCAGTTACTGTGTGTTAACTGTTTTAGGGTCCTAAAGAGAATTTGTACCCAAATCAGAAAGGAAATTAGCAAGTAAACCAAAAGAGTCAGTTTAATCACCAGCTAAGAAATTAATACTAATTTTTAATTTTTTTTTTTTTTTTTTTTTTGGTTTTTCGAGACAGGGTTTCTCTGTGTAGCTTTGCGCCTTACCTGGAACTCACTCTGTAGCCCAGGCTGGCCTCGAACTCAGAGAGATTCGCCTGCCTCTGCCTCCCGAGTGCTGGGATTAAAGGCGTGCGCCACCACCGCCCGGCAAAAAAAAAAAAAAAATTAAAAAGGCTGGTAGTTTTCCCAATGACATAAAAGATACAATTTTTTAAACTTTTGTTTTATTTCTCAGGTTACTGTCTGGGGGAGAGGTATGTGAGTGCAGGTGCTCTCAGAGGCTAGAGTTGTAGGTTCCCTGGGCTGGAGTTGCAGGCAGTTGTGAGCTGTCTGACGTGCATTCTGGGAATTGAACAAGGGTCCTCAGTGTATGCTCTTCAGCCCCAAGATACAAGTTTTAAAATGCTCAAAATCTTTTCTATGTTGGGAGATACAGAAAATAGCATTAATTACCATTTTCTTTAAGTGCTGAGGGAGATTTTGAAAGATACTATCACAAGGTGTTTTATTTTTTGGTTTCTCTAAGTATTTTAATAAATTTTAATATTAAGCTAATTATTTTAATAAATGAATTTATATTTGGTTTTATTCTAAGTAGTTCTTTATGAACTATTGGAGCTATTCTTTTGGTAGAACTATATTGGTGTTAGCTATCATTACATTAAAATTTTTGGGAAGGGCTAGAGAGATGGCTTAGTGATTTAAGAGCACCAGATGTTCTTTTAGAGGGCCCAAGTTCAATTCCCAGAACCCACATGACAGCTCACAGTTGTGTGTAACCCTAGTTTCAGGGGATATAATGCTCATTTCTGGCCTCTTCCAGCACCAGACACATGTTTGGTACACAGACATGTGTGCAGACAACACACCCATAAACATAAATGAAAATAAAACTTTTCAAAAAGTTAATTTTCCATTTATTTATTTATTTAGTGTGTATGCATGCATGCCACAGGGTATGTGTATAGGTCAGAGGACAACTTGTAGTACTCTGTTCTCTTTTTCCACCATGTAGGACCCAGGGATTGAACTCAGGTTGTTGGTCTTAGCAGCAGGAGTTCTTTACCTGCTGAGCCATCTTGCCACGCATGCCTCATTACATTTTTTTTTTTAATGAGCAAACTTACTTGTATTGGTAAAATTAATTTTTAAATGTTTAATGATTTGTTCAAAATTGTATTCAACAAGAGCTGGGCGGTGGTGGGGCATGCCTTTAATCCCAGCACTCAGGAGGCAGAGCCAAGTGGATCTCTGTGAGTTTGAGGCCAGCCTGATCTACAGAGTGAGATCCAGGACAGACATCAAAACTACACAGAGAAACCCTATCTCGGGAAACCAAAAAAAAAAAAAAAAAGAAAGAAAAAAGAAAGAAAGAAAGGAAATATTCAACAAGCTAGGCATAGTGGCACATCCCCTTAATCCCAGCACTCAGGAGGCAGAAGCAGGTGGATCTCTGTGAGTTCAAGGTCAGCCTGGTCTACTTAGTGAGTTCCAGACTAGCCAAGGGCTATAGTGACTCTGTCTCAAAAAAAAAAAAAAAAAGGTTCAAGCAGGGTGGAGGTGGTAAAGCACACTTTTAGTTTCAGCACTCGGGGAGGCAGACGGAACTCAGAGTTTGAGCCCAGCCTGGTCTACAGAGTGAGTTTCAGGACAGCCAAGGCTACACAGGGAAACCCTGTCTTGAAAAACAAAACAAAAACAAAAACAAAAATTTAAAAAGTTCAACAGATAATAATTACTCCATTAAAGAAGCTGAGCAGCAAACTTCATGAAATACTGTTACATTGTCTTGGTGTGTAATACAGTGTTTATTATCTGTCACCCTTAGCTCTTCCATTCATCATCTAAAAAAGAGTTCTTAGTAAGTGAAGCCAATTGAAAGTATATTTTTCCTGGGATGCAGCTGTAATGGACATTTTAGTTAGAAATGCCATCTGTCTTACAGGAAAAAAATATGGAAAACAAATTTCTATTTGTCGCCGGGCGGTGGTGGCGCACGCCTTTAATCCCAGCACTTGGGAGGCAGAGCCAGGTGGATCTCTGTGAGTTCGAGGCCAGCCTGGTCTCCAAAGCGAGTTCCAGGAAAGGCGCAAAGCTAGACAGAGAAACCCTGTCTCGAAAAAACCAAAAAAAAAACCAAAAAAACAAATTTCTATTTGTCAACCTGTTAGCTTACCTTAAAATGTTGTTTACTTTTCTAGCAACAACCTTTACGGCCCAATTTAGTGGAAACTAGTTGTCCCAATATACGGATGGATCCCAAATTATGCCCTGCTGATCCAGACTGGATAGCTTTCATTCACAGCAACGATATCTGGATATCAAACCTCGTAACCAGGGAAGAACGGAGGATCACCTATGTGCACAATGGTAAGACAGAGATCTTCAGCCTGGCTTTGCTGATACATATGTGGAAAGCTGATTTTCATTTTACTTCCATTTTGAAATTAAAGCAAACTCGGTGATCTTTATCTTTTTTTAAGATTTTATTTAATTTTTTTTTAAATTTTATGTGCATAGTGTTTTGTCTGCATTCATGTCTGTGTTAGGGTGTTGGGTCCCCTGGAACTGTAGCTATAGACAGCTGTGAGCTGCCATGTGAGTGCTGGGAATTGAACTCAGGTCCTCTGGAAGAACAGCCAGTGCCCCTAACCACCAAGACATCTTGCTAGCTCCGTGATCTTTATTTTTAAGTTCAGGTATTTAAAAATTGAAAGGTAAGGAGAAGGACAGAGAATACATGGTTCATATCCCTTAGATAATGCCACTCTCTTCTCAGCCATTTTCAAGTACCACAGTGCATCTCTGCTATGCTTATTCTTTTAGCCTAGGACTGCTACCAGTTCCCCAAGCCTTTCTCATTAAGTGAAATTTTAATTAAGAAAATTAGACTTGGCGGGCGGTGGTGGCGCACGCCTTTAATCCCAGCACTCAGGAGGCAGAGGCAGGTGGATCTCTGTGAGTTCAAGGCCAGCCTGGTCTACAAAGTGAGTTCCAGGGAAGATTCCAAAGCTACACAGAGAAACCTTGTCTCAAAAAAACCAAAAAAAAAAATTAGACTTGCTTGACGATACAAACAGAAAAACCAGTTACACATTATCAGAAACTGCCTGAAAAACAGTCTCCCCATTTTGGAGAGTCTATTTAGCTACTGTTCTAATTGGAAAAATCAGAATGTAGAAGAACCATGGGCATTGTGGAAGTATTTAAGTAGGCTTTGTTGAGTGGCAAACGGGGTCTGAGGCAATAGGAATACAGGTTCAGTGCTGTCTCAGAAAACAACAGCCAGGCACAGTGGTGCCTTTAATCCCAGCACTCAGGAGGCAGAGGCAGGTGGGTCTCTGAGTTTGAGGCCAGCCTGGTCTACAGAGTGAGTTCCAGGACAGCCAGGGCTACACAGAAAAACTGTCTCAAAAAAACAAAACCAAAAAGTTTCAAAAGGTAGACTTGAGTTTGTCATAGATTGTTGGACTGAGTTCATAAGGAAGAAGTGATGTATGGGAATGAAGGCCTTCCTGTAGCTCCCTGCCATCGTCTCCATCCTCACCATCTCTGGCACTGCTGGGTCATTTGCTGTGCACCTCATTCATATATTATGTGCAGTTAGGCCTGTGATAGCTGTGTTTGTAATGTTCACATGCAGACATTTTGTGATATTATTATTGGTCGTTCCCTAAGCAATGTAGTGTAATAACTGTTTACATTGTCTCCAGTGTAAGTAAGTAATATCATTAAAGTCTACCTGAGGGCACTTGCGTTCTGTGGAAACACTGTGTTGTTTTATGGAAAGAGACTTAAGCATTTGCAGCTTGTGGTATTTGGACAGGATCTTAAGGGAACGAATCTTTAAGTGATTCTAAAGGAGAACTGTGGCAAGGGTACGGATTGAATAAGGTGCTGCAGGCCATCAAGCAGCTAAATAAACAATAACGGCAATACAGAGGAGATCAGACGTGGAGGGCTCTAGAGCAAGCACCAAGAGAAGCCGTGGTTGGGGAAGACCTCCCAGATCAACGTAACTGACCTTCAGTGATGTCTCTATGTTAGCAAAGTGTTCCAGAAAGGGAACTGTGTGAGAAAGGTCTTACTCTGAAAGGTGCTGTGGCCTTTGTGAGGAGCTAGAAGTGCTCAGTTGTCCAGTACTGGGGAGGCGGCGGGGTGTGTGTGTGTGTGTGTGTGTGTGTGTGTGTGTGTGTGTGTGTATGTGAATGGAGGAGTCTTCAGCAGTCGAGCTGGTGGTTATAGCTGTACTGGACGTAAGGATTTGGATGCATGACACCAAAGCTTGGCAGCTGCCATCACTGGAATCACAGGTGTGTTGAGAATTGAAGCCCTTTTCATCCTGTCAGCAAACCCTGAACACTTCCTACCACTTGTGTATTCGAGACTGGGACTGCAAAGCTCCCATAAAAACTGCTACGAGAGCCCGGCGGTGGGGGCGCACACCTTTAATCCCAGCACTCGGGAGGCAGAGCCAGGCGGATCTCTGTGAGTTCTAGGCCAGCCTGGGCTACAGAGTGAGATCCAGGACAGGCACCAAAGCCATACAGAGAAACCCTGTCTCGAAAAACCAAAAAAAAAAAAAAAAAAAAAAGAAAAAAAATGTCACAAATAGGCATTTTAAAGTCTTTTTTTGAGACAGACTCTCTTTTTCTCTTTGTAGCCCTAGTTGTCTCACAAGTCATCGTGTGGACCAGGCTGGCCTTGAATTCTAGAGATCTGCCTGCTTCTGCCTCCCAAGTTTGCTGGTATTAAAGATGTGTACCACTGTGCCTGGCTTGCTTTCTTTTGTAAAATTGTTTCCCACAGAGAATTTGTAACGATTGGCAGAATTTAAAGTAGAATGTGCTGGAATTCTAGAGGATGTTATAGTTTTTACTCTTCTCTTTACTATTCATGTAGGTATGTGGTAAATTTATTATTTCTAGTATAAGAGCCCAGGCAGAGAATACAGAATAATACAGAACCAGGCTATCTGAGTGTTATCTACCATTCATTAATTCTGACCTCATCAAATTAATTAATGTACCACTTGGTTTCTACATATGTAAAAATATGAATCAACTTGGTATAACCACAGGATTTTCAGAAGGCCTTAATAAGTTAATTTTTATGCAGTGTTTAGAATTGTGACTGAAACATCACAAGGGCTGTGAATTGTCTGTTTAGATAGAAAGGGATGGAGGAAGGGACATGCCAGCCAGTGTGTTGTGATGAAAGCCTAGAAAGGGAGTGATCTGTCAGGGTGTGTGTGTGTTTATCTCTGCTCAGTGTGATGGAGGAATTTAGAAGTACTGGTTCCTGCCCCCAGTTACCCTCTGCTGGAAAGACAAGGCAATACCAGTTATCCAGTTAATAAGTAACTTGTAGTAAGTAGCAGGGATACAAACCAGTGCTACCTGTCCTCACATCTAAAGGAGAACAGAAGAGAGAGCAAGTTGGAGATGTAGTTTACAGTAATTGAAGGATTCAAGCACTCCTCTTGACTCTTGTACTAATTCCTTGTTTCAGAAAGCTCTGGACACATTGTTGTCATTAGCTTGGTGCTGAAACTCATTTGGTGGCAGAACCTGACCTGAACTGGCTTGAGAGTATTTATAACATTTGTCCCGCTCAGCATGCCTGCCTTCAGTTTGCTTCTGGGATGCTGGGATTAGATTACAGTTTACCTGGCTGTGCTGCTGCTGCTGATACATAATACATCATAGATGTGCACTGTGTGAAGAGTCTCAGAATTCCAAATACTTGACTTGGTTTTTGGATAAGGTTCTTATTGTACATTCGTCTCACACTGTAGAATACAAATGATCAAAAATGGTAAACTAAAGCCGTGTATAATGGCACATACCTTTAATCCCAGCACTTGGGAGACAGAGGTAGGCAGATCAAGGCCAGCCTGGTCTGTAGAGTGAGTTCAAGGACAGCCAGGGCTACACAGAGAAACCCAGTCTTGAAAAAAATTATAAAATAAAGAAAAAGAAAGAAAATAAAATTAAATCTTACCTGTGCTGGGCACAGTAGTGTATGCCTATAGTCCAAGCACATAGGAGACTAAAGTAGGAGGATTGCTTGGAGTTTAAGACTAGCCTGAGCAGCATAGCAAGACCCTGTCTCTAACAAAAGAAAATAAAGCCGGGCAGTGGTGGCGCATGCCCTTATCCCAGCACTTGGGAGGCAGAGCCAAGTTGATTTCTGTGAGTTCGAGGCCAGCCTGGTCTACAGAGCGAGATCCAGGAAAGGTGCAAAGCCACACAGAGAAACCCTGTCTCAAAAAACAAAAAAAAGAAAGAAAATAAAATCATAATGATATATCACTGCTCACCAAGTAAACAAGCAAAAGTGAGAAAGATTGAGAATGCCTACTGTTGGTAAGAGTGTAAAATAATAGAAATGCATCCCCACAAGGTAAAACACACTCCACTAACCAGCCACTCTACTCCAAGAGCCACTCCACTCCAAGATATTCACTCCAAAGAAATGAAAGCACATGTCCATGGAAATTATTGTGCAAGAATAAATGTTCGCATCATCTGTATTCACAGTAACATGTCAGCCCACTTGTCAGCAGAATGGATGAAAAATCCACAACATCACTCCACATGGGCCTACACCTCAGGAGGTAGAGGCAGGCCAGTCTCTGAGATGAAGGCTAGCTTGGTCTGCATAGTGAATTCTAGGCCAGCCTCGGCCTGTCACATAGCAAGACTCTGTCTGTTTTAGTTACTGTTCTACAACAACAACATGGTGAGGAGACACCATGACCAAGGCAACTTAGAAAAGGAAGCACTTAATTTAGGAACTTGCTTATAGTTACAGAGGGTTAGTCCATGGTTAACATGGCAGGGAGTGTGGGGGCAGGCAAGCAGAGAGAGACTGGGCCTGGCATGGGCTTTTGAAACCTTCAAGCCCAACCCCAGTGACACTCCTTCTCCAATAAGACCACACCCCCTCATCCTTCCAGACAGTTCCACTAACTGGGGACCAAGCATTCAAACAAACATATGAGCCTGTGGGGACCATTTTTACTCAAACCACCCCACAACAACACCCCCAAAACAAAAAATCCATATTATCAATGGACTATTACTTAGCAGACAGGACTAAGTACTGGCAAGTGTCAAAGCATTGATGATTCTCAAAAACAAGCCACGTTCAAATTACACTGTAAACATTTTACCATGATACAAAAATCTTACATAATAATGACTTTGTGATTTGTTTAGGTGGTTATTGGTGCTAAGGGTACAAAAGCCAAGCATATTCCAAGCTCTACCATTGACATGCCACAGTAGAGTGCGACTAATTGCCCAAGGTCATGCAATAGGTAATTGGTGAGGCCCAGATTGGAATTCGATCTGTTTGGCTCCACAGTTGACCACTACAATCAACTACCTTTCTTTAGGAGTGACAGAATCATTTTGCTTTGTCCTATTGTAAAAAATAAAATTAAATTAAAAAGAGTTTGGGGGATAATTTTGCCTTTTTTGTTTGTTCAGAGCTAGCCAACATGGAAGAGGATCCCAGATCAGCTGGAGTTGCTACCTTTGTTCTTCAAGAAGAATTTGATAGATATTCTGGCTACTGGTGGTGTCCACAAGCTGAAAGAAGTAAGCGAGTTCAAAGTAGTGTGTTACAGGTTACTTTAAGTATAAGGTTTTGACTGTCGATTGGCTGAGTGTACAGAGCATAAAGCTGGGACAGTAAATGAAAAGTGATGAAGATTAGGCTGCACTTGTAGCTATTTAGAAAATATAGGCCTTATCCTCCACTTTGATTCTAGTAGAGACAATTACAGTCTGCCTCAGTACCTCAGGTGCTGCTTGCCAGTTTTTCAGCTGGAAAGCAGCATTATGACAAGATCCACACTAATGACTTGCTTTTAAACATATGTGATTGAGGCCGGGTGTGGTGGTGCACGCCTTTAATCCCAGCACTCGGGAGGCAGAGCCAGGCGGATCTCTGTGAGTTCGAGGCCAGCCTGGGCTACCAAGTGAGTTCCAGGAGAGGCGCAAAGCTACACAGAGAAACCCTGTCTCGAAAAACCAAAAAAAAAAAAAAAAAAAAAAAAAAACCAAACCAAACCAAACAAAACAAAACATATGTGATTGATAGCAGCTGGAGAGATGGCTCAGAGGTTAAGAGCACTGGCTGTTCTTCCCGAGGTCATGAGTTCAATTCCCAACAACCACATGGTAGCTCATAACCATCTGTAATGGGATCTGGTGCCCTCTTCTGGAGTGCAGGCATACATGAAGGCAGAATACTGTATACATAATAAATAAATACATCTTTAAAAAAAAAAAAATATGTGCTTGAGTAGCAGCTGCCTGAACAGATGAGTATGTGCAAATGAGTAACTTGAGACACTTAAAGCAGTGGCCCACACTCTTGTCTAACCACAGTCCAGTGAGAAATTTGCTCACAATCGTGTGGCCTAATATAAAGTATATATATATTTTATAGACAAAATTGGAAAAAATTATGAAGCAGTATTTCTTAGGTGTTATGTACTTTAATAATTTCTTTCCTTTTTTATTCTTTAAAATTTATTTACTCTTAATTTTGTGTGTGTGAATGTTTGCCTGCAGGTATATAAGTGTGTGTGCCAGGTATATCCCACGTGTATGCATGGGCCTGCAATGGCCAGAAGGTATCAGATCTGAGGACGTGGAGTTACAGTTGGTTGTGAGCTGCTGTATGGGTGCTGGGGACCCAGCTAGGACCTCTAGAAGAGCAGCAAGTGTTCTTACGTGCTGGTTAGGACCCATCAATAGGTCTTATGACATCACTATTGGTTTACAATACAGCTAGCAGGCTGAACATTTCTTTTTGGTTTTTCTTTTTTTTTTTTTTTTTTTTTTTTTTTTGGTTTTTCGAGACAGGGTTTCTCTGTGTAGCTTTGCGCCTTTCCTGGAACTCACTTGGTAGTCCAGGCTGGCCTCGAACTCACAGAGATCCGCCTGGCTCTGCCTCCCGAGTGCTGGGATTAAAGGCGTGCGCCACCACCGCCCGGCCTCTTTTTGGTTTTTCAAGATATGATTTCTCTGTGTAGCCCTGGCTGTCCTGGAACTTGCTCTGTAGACCAGGCTGGCCTTGATCTTACAAAGATCCACCTGCCTCTGCCTCCCAAGTGCTGGGATTAAAGGCACGTGCCACCACCACCCTGCACCTGAACATTTCTTTAGAGGACAATGGAAAATATGTATTTTAATCCATGTGTTAGATTTGGACTTTTATTTTAAAATGTAGACATTTTCCCATAATTATACAGAAGATGATTTTGACATAAACCATTCAGTACAACTAAACTCTTAGCATTTTATAGGAAATATTATGTTTTATTATGTCAAAATTCTTCAAAATGTTTCTCTTGTATGTAGGAATATAAGTATGTATATATTTAAACACACGCACATATTTTTCCCCTCCCAAAGGGTAAACTTTAGGTCTTAGTAGAAGGACTTGGAAGTCACCCTGCAGTTGTAAAGATGGGGAGGTTTTCATGTGAAGAGGAAGCCCAGGGTCCAGCAAGTTGGCTCAGCAGGTAAAGGCTGCTGCCACTCAGTGACCTGACTTCAGTTCCCTGGGGCCCACATGGTGGGAAGAGAGAACTGACTGCAAAACGTGTCCTCTGACTTCCACATGTATCCCACCTTAAGAAGGAACTATTTAATTAAATTTATAACATTTTCTAGAAGATGTTATGTCCAAATCTCAAATATGACTTTTAAATAAATATTTTTATGTTCCATTAAAAAAGTATTCCGTCTTGAAAAACTAAAAAAAAAAAAAAAAAAAAAAAAATTCTTCAGACTTTTATCTATAAACCACTAATAAGGCCTGCCCTGCATATACATACTCAAACACATACACACATACACACACACAGAGTGAGTAAATAAATGTTGTTAAAAGTTTTTGTTTTGAGGGCAGCATAGCCTAGAGTACAGCCCAGTGGGAGAGTACTAGCCTGTCGTGTTCAAGGACCTAAATTCAGTCACTATCACCACTAATTCATAATAGTAGTCTATCTTATGCATAAATTATTTACTTTAGTAAAAAAAACTAGTTTTAGAGGAAATAGTGAATGATGAGTATTCTGTAATAATTATTCTAAATTTCCAATACCTAAATTCCTTTTAAGCTCCTAGTGGTGGTAAAATTCTTAGAATTCTCTATGAAGAAAATGATGAATCTGAGGTGGAAATTATTCATGTTACATCCCCTATGTTGGAAACCAGAAGGGCAGATTCCTTCCGTTATCCTAAAACAGGTACTGTATTCCACTGTTCTATTTATTCATTCCCTCCTCTAGGTGTGGTGGCTCATGCTTGTAGTCCCAGTCTTGGAAGCCTGTGGCAGTAGGAGGGTTGTTAGGTGTTCCAGGCCAGCTGGGGTACAAGATGAGATCTTGTCTCAAAAACAGAAACAAAATCTGCAGTCATTCAGATGTATAGTCAGTTTGATCATGAGCAGCCTTTGTAAAGATTGTTTGTTCATTAAGTATAGCTTTTGAACATGGAGGTGGGTTTGCCTACAATACTAGGAAATCAGCAAGAAGGTATCCCTTCCTGTCAAAGACTTTTAAGTGGTTTTATTCTTAATAAGAAGGTGGGGGTTTTTTTGTTTTGTTTTGTTTTGTTTGTCCATTTTGCTGTTTACAACATTTCAATTGCAGAAATAGTAGGCAGCTTCTCTTTGTTTTCATACTGACTCTTTCTAGTTTTAGCCTCTTTCCTGTTTGCTGCTCATAGGAATTTGAGATAACTTCTAACCTGCACAGTAAAGCCCTGGCTATATACAATGTTCCTAACAACTAAAATCTGAAGGACACTGATCTGAAGAAGTTGGTTGGAGTAACTCTAGACATTATTGTTCATTTATGTTTCTTTCTAAAGGCACAGCAAACCCAAAGGTCACTTTCAAGATGTCAGAGATACTTGTTGATGCTGAAGGGGGGGTAAGTGTGAGGCGCTGAACACTGTTCAGGCTAGCCGGTCTCAGAGGCTCTTTGGTGCACATTTTTATTGGTTAACTTGTTGAACTTGCTAAGACATTTGTGGTTCATGATTTATAGGTTGACCTAATTTTCTTCCTTGAAAGCACTCATATTAAGCCTGTGGGGAGGGATATATAAGAACCTGTGTTAAATTCCCAGAATCCATATAAAAAAAGCTGGCCGTTGTAGTATGTACTTGTAATCCCAGCACCGAGCAATGGAGACAGACAGATCCCTGGGGCTCTCCAGCCAGACAGCTTAGCCTGCTTATTGAACTCCAGACCAATGAGAGATTGTGTCTCAAAAAAAAATTCTGAGGAGAAACATAAGTCATCTGGCCTCTACACATATGCATGCACCACACAAACATATTTTTGCTCCTTGCAAATAGTTTTTGCTCTGTCTTTATTAATTATTCAATCAATATAAAACAGTGGTTTACCTTCTGTGTTGGGTGTACACCACATCTATGGTGGATTGAATAACCCATATTTCTCCTGTACTGCTGCTTTCCATTTGGACATGCTCACAAGATTAGTTAAAATGCAGATGTTGGGGGCAGGGCCTGGAGAGATGGCTCAGCAGTTAAGAGCATATACTGTACTTGTGGAAGACCCAAATTCTATTCCGGGCACCCAGGTCAGGAGGCTTGCTATTATCTATAACCCCATCTCCAGAGGATCTAATGTCCTCTTCTGATTTCTATGGGTACCTGCATTCATGTGCACATACCCACATATAGATACACACGTACACATGCCTAAAAATAAATCTTTTTTTTTTTGAGGAAGGGAGGGGCTTGGTTTTTTGAGACAGGGTTTCTCTGTGTAGCCCTGGCTGTCCTGGAACTCACTGTGTAGTCCAAGCTGGCCTCGAACTCACAGAGATCAGCCTACCTCTGCCTCCCAAGTGGACAGCTGGGATTAAAGGTATATACCACTATGCCCAGTTTTAGACTTTTTTAAAAACATAGCTTTACTGAGATATCATTTACATACAATACAGTTCATTCATTAAAGCTTAAAATTCGGGTTTGGGGATTTAGCTCAGTGGTAGAGCGCTTGCCTAGCAAGCACGAGGCCCTGAGTTCAATCCTCAGCTCCAAAAAAAAAAATAAAAATAAAAATAAAAAAAAGCTTAAAATTCAGTGACTTCATGTAACCACAGAATCAGGCCACCTGAGTCCATTTTAGAGCATTATCATTACTTCAAAGAGAAATACGTCACCCCTTATCTATAATCCCCTAGTTCTAAACAGCCACTTCAGACTTGCCTGTTTGGGGCATTTGTACGAATGAAATCATACAATATGTTGTCTGGCTTCTTCGTTTAATGTTTTCAAGGTCTATCTATTTGCATATGTGTGTGTGTGTTGCAGAGAGGTCTAACTCAGGGCTCCAATCTTGCTATCATTCTACTACTGAGCTGTATCTCCAGCCTATGTGCTTCATTTCTTGTTCTTTTTGTGTATGCACTGGGGTGGGGACAGTAAATGCATATGCATGGGAGCCAAAGGTCAGCGTCAAGTGTTTTCCTTCATCAGTCTCCACTTTACTTTTATGTGTATGGGTATTTTGCTTGTATGTTTGTCTGCATGCCACATGTGTGCCTGATGCCTAGAAAAGGGCATTGGATGCCCAGGAGCTTCAATGATGAGTGCCACATGAGTGCTGGGGATTGAACCTGGATCCTCTGGAAGAGCAGCCAGTGCTCTTCTTAACTGAGCCATCTGCCCAGCCTCCATTTTAATTTTTGAATGGTCTCTCACTGCACCTGGAACTCACTGATTGGCTAGACTGGCTGGCCAGCCAGCAAGCTACAGGGTTCCTCCTGTTTCTGCCTCCCCAGTGCTGAAACAGCACAGTGCTGCTGTGCCTGCAGTTACGTGGGTACTGGAGATCCAAACTCAGGTCTTCATGCTTGTCAGGCAAGTACTGCACCAACTGAGCCATCTCCCCAGCCTCCTGTATTTCTTTTTATTGCTGAGTATTATTTCTTTGTGTGGTATACCATATTTTATTTACCTACTCATCCGTTGATGGGTATTTGGGTTGTTACCATTTTTTTTTTTTTTTTTTTTTGCTCTTAAAAGGAAAGCTGTCAAAGCCAGGTGTGGTGGGGCATACCTTTACTCTCAGCACTCGGGAGGCAGACACAGGCAGATCTCTGTGAGTTCGAGGCCAGCCTGGTCTACAAAGCAAGTTCCAGGACAGCCAGAGCTGTTACACAGAGAAACCCTGTTTCTAAAACAAAACAAAACCCCAAAAAGGAAAGCTGTCATGAAGCCAGACAGTGACACGTGCCTGCTGTCCCAGCACTGTCTATATGCAGGAGGCTGAGGCAGGAGAATCACAAGTTTGAGGCCAGCTTGGACTTTATAGTGGGGCTGTGTCTTTTGAGAGAAAGCAAAAAGGAGGGGTTGGTGAGAGACTGCTAGGAATATGTGTACGCATGTGTGTGCGCGAGTGTGTGCGAGGGTTTATGGTTTTGTTTCTCTGGGGCACACCTGGGACAATGGTTGGGTCATGGGACAATGCTCTATTTAATCTTTTGTGGAGCTGCCAGACTGCTTTGAAAATCATATTCCCACCAGCAGTGTGTGAGGTTTCCGGTTTCTCCACACCGTCCTAACACTTGCTGTTGTCCATGGTTGTCACAGTCATCCATGCAGAAGTCGTGGTGCATTATGGTTCGATTTACATTTCCTGTGCGTGTAGAGAGCACCAACACAGGAAACCCCTGACTGACCGCTGGCTTTACTTCCACCCTTGTACCCATGTCTGAAAAGATGTAAACTAGTGAGCATGTTATTTTCTCTGTCTTCTATAACTATTCCCTTTTCTCTTTACTAGATTATAGATGTCATAGATAAAGAGCTGGTTCAACCTTTTGAGATTCTGTTTGAAGGAGTCGAATATATTGCCAGAGCTGGATGGACTCCAGAGGGAAAATAGTGCGTATGTTAAATTGTCACCTTCTTCCAACTAAATTTAGGACCCAGAGCTTTAGAATGTCTGTGCTGCAGGCTTGGCTTTCCAAGTAAATCAGCACCCTGTTATTTCCATTCAGGCGTTTTTTCTGAACTCTGAACATGCAGATTTGCAGTCCCATAAACATACGTGTATTGTATTTCGGTTATAGGAATAATTGTTGGGTGTGGTGTCTCACACCTTTAATCCTAGCTCTCAGCAAGCAGAGGCAGATAGATCTCTGTGAGTTCAAATCAGCCTGATCTCCATGGTGAGTTCTAGGCCAGCCAAGGGACACATAGTGAAACACTGTCTTTAAAAAGAAAAATAAGACAGGTGGTGGTGGCACACACCTTTATTCCCAGCACTGGGGAGGCAGAAACAGGTGGATCTCTGAATTTGAGGCCAGCCTGATCTACAGAGCGAGTTCCAGGACAGCCAAGGCTACACAGAGAAACCCTGTCTAGAAAAACTAAAATAAACATATAAAATAAAAATGATAGGTACCAAGGGAGAGAACAAATGGTTATTCATTTTCCAAGAGCTTGCTTCATTCCTGATTTCTTCTCATTCCTTTGAACAGCGCCTGGTCCATCCTACTAGATCGTTCCCAGACTCACCTACAGATAGTTCTGATCTCTCCTGAGTTATTCATCCCAGTAGAAGATGATGCCATGGACAGACAGAGACTCATAGAGTCAGTGCCTGACTCTGTGACACCACTGATCATTTATGAAGAAACAACAGACATCTGGATAAATGTATGCATTTCTCTTTCTTAAACTTGGCTGTGTATTTTCTCAGGATACTCAGGCAGATGAATGTAACATGAATTTTAAATGGTCTTATAAAAACAAACAAACAAACAAACAAAACCCAGTACCAGATATTGGGGTAAATGCTAAAAGATCAGAGAGACAAAGGAACAAGCCACTGCCACGTCTTGCCTCTAGGACTCCTCAGCCTGAAAAGGCCTCAGAGATCCTGTCTCCTCCTGCCTTACATACCTTTCTCCACCCAGCCATATCATTTCCTATCTCAACCTTCCTAGTGCTGGGATTAAAGGCGTGTGACTCCCAAATACTAGGATTAAAGGTGTGTGCCACCACTGCCTGGCTCTGTTTCTCTCCTAGACTGAATCAATCTCATGTAATCTAGGGTGGCTTTGAACTCACAGAGATCCAGACGGATCTCTGCCTCCCGAGTGCTAGGATTAAAGGTGTGTGCCACCACTGCCTGACCTCTATGTCTAATCTAGTGGCTGGCTCTGTCCTCTGATCCTCAGGCAGGCTGTATTTGATACACAGTATATCACCACAGATGAAGTTCTATAGCAGCATAACAAAATGCATCCTTAAATTCAAAGGAACTGTGACTATTTCGAGTTGAATGGTGGTTCCAGAATGGAGCAGTCTACAGCAGAAAGTAGATAGCATCGAAGTGACAGCTCACTGTAACTGCAGATTGGCCGTGTATGGCTGTGCACACACCGGATAGAGAGCCCACAGCCTCAGCTCCAACCTCTGTGCTTCTGAGAGGACTTTCAAGAGTTGTGTCTAGAAACTCCCTTTTAAGTTAGCAAACTATACCAAATATGCTAGTTTTTAATTGAGTTTTGTGTTTTCCATTTAGCATAAAAATTAGATATAAAATAAAAATGTTTCTCTGTCTCTGTAGTTGAAAGTAGGCTTCCCGTGATTCACCCAAAACAGATGAACATCTGTTTTCCTTCAGCTGTTAGAATCCTTCTCTTTGGAAAACAAAGTACAGCATGTTGTTCCCCCTGGCTTGTGTATAAGATTTATACCATTGCATCAGCTTTATGTGCCTCAGAGATTCCAGAGCTGGGAAGCAGCAGCCTTGGCCAAGTTGTTCTTTTGCTTTCTTCCATTTGGAAACGTTTACTTCTCAGTGTGTGAAATCTTTGTCTAAAGTAAAATAAATGTAAAAAGCCCAGGCAAAACTATTATTGTAAGTGTTCCATATTGCGAGCACTAACCACTGTCTATGTTTCAAGTAATCCTTTCTTCTCTCATTTGGTTACCTATGTGGTATATTTTTTTTTTTTTTTTTTTTTTTTTTTTTTTTGGTTTTTCGAGACAGGGTTTCTCTGTGTAGCTTTGCGCCTTTCCTGGAACTCACTTGGTAGTCCAGGCTGGCCTCGAACTCACAGAGATCCGCCTGGCTCTGCCTCCCGAGTGCTGGGATTAAAGGCGTGTGCCACCACCGCCCGGCGTGGTATATTTATTAATGCCTATAATAAACTAAGCTGTTTATTTTGCAGATCCACGATATCTTTCATGTTTTTCCTCAAACTCATGAAGATGAAATAGAGTTTATTTTTGCCTCTGAATGCAAAACAGGTTTCCGTCATCTATATAAAATTGTAACCATTTTAAAGGAGAGCAAATATAAAAGATCCAGCGGTGGACTGCCTGCCCCAAGTAAGAAGTCTTACCTATTATATAGTTAATCTTTTTATATTTTATTTGTTTTGCATAATTCATCTCAGAGCAAGCATGTGCAAGTAGAGGACAGCTTGTGGGACTCTCTTCTGTCCTTCCACTGTGTGAGTTCCAGGGATCAAACTCAGCATCAGACCTGATGTCAGGGACCTTTCCCACTGAGCCATCTCACAGCCATATTGTCTTTGTTATATTCTTTTTAACATCAGGACTTGCCTCAGTAAACTTAATGAATATATTAACTGAAATACAAGTCTATGCATGTGCAAAGCAGAGCAGATTCTCAATGAATACATAAGTTATTAATAAGTATAATAATAAGTAAGTGGATAATCTCTGAGTGATTGGAATACCTATTTTTATGACACTTTTGCCTTGATTACAATTTTTAATTTATTTAAAATGAGTCCACATGTGCTCGCTTCATCAGCACATGTACAAAAAAAAATGAGCCAGCATTATTTTTATATTTAAATAACTTTTTTTTTGGTTTCTCTGTGTAGTTTTTGGTGCCTGTTCCAGATCTCGCTCTGTAGACCAGGCTGGCCTCAAACTCACAGAGATCTGCCTGGCTCTTGCCTCCTGAGTGCTGGGATTAAAGGCATGCGCCACTGCTGCTGACTTTTTTTTTTTTTTGGAGACTTCTCACTATGGCTCTGGCTGACCTAGAACTCATTATGCAAACAAAGCTGTCCTTAGACTCACAGAGATCTGCCTGCCTCTGCCTCCCAAGTGGTAGGATTGAAAGCTTGTACCACCACACTAGGTTTTAAAAACTTTGCAAACTATTGTTTATATAGGGATGCTAGAGAGATAGCTCAGTGGTTAAGAGCACTTGCTGCTCTTGTGGAGAGCCCAATTTCTGTTTACAGCACCCACATGACAGCTCACAACCACCCCTAATTTCCAGCTCCAGAAGTGCTTTCTTTCTTCCAGGGACATGAGACATGCATGTGGATACATAGAAGCAGGCATTCACACATACACATACAGTAAAAATAAATCTTCTAAGACTATATTCCATTTATGCCGGAAGAGGGCATCAAATCTCACTATAGATGGTTATGAGCCTCCATGTAGTTGCTGGGACTTGAACTCAGGATCCCTGGAAGAGCAGCCAGTTCTCTTAACCACTGAGCCATCTCTCCAGCCCCTATACAGTGTTTCTTGGTGGATACCTGGGTTGCTTCCGTTCTTTTGGTGGAATGACACTGCTGTGACTATGTGTGTTCCTCTCCTGGCTTTTAGGTATATAGCTACCAGAAGTGCAATGCATGACTCACGTATTCTATTTAATTTTTCATCATTTGCAAACCGGTAGGAAGGGCTACAGTTTTTATATTCCTAATAATAATGTGCAGGGGTTTTCATTTCTCTCTGGTTCCGTTTGTTTGTTCATTTGTATTTGGGGGGTAGGTTTATTTATTTTATTCCTATATGTATGAATGTTTTGCCTGCATGTATGTTTGTGTACCACATGCCTGCCTGGTGTCTATAGAAGTCAGAAGAGGGGGTTAGATATCCAGAACTGGAGTTACAGAGGGTTATGAGCCACCATGTAGGTTCTGGAAACCAAACCTGGGTCCTCTGCAAGAACAAGTGTTCTTAACTGCTGAGCCATCTCTCTAGCCCCTGGATTGTTTTCTGGTTGGTTTTTTGTTTGTTTGTTTTTGTTTGGTTTTGGTTTGGTTTTTTGAGACAGGGTTTCTCTGTGTAGCTTTGTGCCTTTCCTGGAACTCACTTGGTAGCCCAGGCTGGCCTCGAACTCACAGAGATCCGCTTGGCTCTGCCTCCCGAGTGCTGGGATTAAAGGTGTGTGTCACTGAGCCCAACTGTGGGTTTATTTTTTTAATAGTGACCCTAATAGATGTAAAGAGGTATCTTCCATTTGTGTTCTTTCTCTGTTGAACTCATACATACAGTTTTAGAGATTGAACCTAAGACTGTCACTGAGTTACATCCCTAGCGCTTTTTGGGTTTTATTTTGAAATGGGATGAGGAGATGACTGAGTAGCTGACATCACACGTGTGCCACCAAGCCCAGCTTGAAGAAGCATCTCATTATGTTTTGACACAGGTTCCCTAATGATGAGGAATATTAAGTACTTTCCATATACATATTGGCCATTTGTATATCTTGTTGAGAGAAATACCTATTCAAGTCCTTTGGATTCTTCGGTTTTTCTGAATGGTCTTTTAATACTGGGATTTGGAGAGCAGTGAGCTACAACTTGAAACCAATTAAGTAAATACTATTAGGACTATGCATTTTCTTTAAAGACAGGTCATATATATCCAAAACAGAGAATTTCTTTCTGTGAGCTTCAGCTTAGCTTAGCCCTGAACTTTAGATTGCCTTACTAGTACCTTTGTTGCTCAGGAGTAAGTTCACTCATAGCTGAGAGCAAGGAACTAAAACAGTACTTTGAGTCAGTAAGGGATTTTAGATCTGTTATTACTCCATTCACATCAGCCTCAGAAGAGGGCTGTCCCTGTCAGCACCTGTTTGCCGATGCTGCTTGGCCCTATTTCTTCCCTTTTCTTTTTTTAAATTGCTCCATATCAGTTTGTTTGTTTGTTTTGTTTTTACTTTGTAATTATTTTTCTTTCTCCTTATCTCTCTTTTAGAGCTATAACGTGAAACTCTTTTTTGTTTGTTTTTTGTTTTGTTTTGTTTTTCAAGACAGGGTTTCTTTATGTAACAGTCCTGGCTGTCCTGGAACTTGCTCTGTAGACCAGGCTGGCCTCAAACTCACAGAGATCCACCTGCCTCTGCCTCCTGAGTGCTGGGATTTTAGGCATGAGTCACCAAACCTAGTTGGATATTTTAGCTGTAATTTTTAGTAACCATTTAAAATAACCCAATACCATTTAATACAATATTATCAACCATTGTCTTTATCTAGTTCCAAAACATTTTCATCACTTCAAACCTAACATTGATGTTTTTGTTTTTGTTTTATTGCAGCTTTTTGGAAAAAAAGGTTTAGAAAACTTTTCTACATTGTTTCATTTGCTTATTATCTGGAATAAAGTACTGAATTTTGATTGTATTCATCTTCAGGTGATTTCAAGTGTCCTATCAAAGAAGAAATAGCAATTACCAGTGGTGAATGGGAAGTTCTTGGCCGGCATGGATCTAATGTATGTCTCTTTATTGATAAGTTTGGTCAGCCTCTGCTTTGTGTATACAGTGCAGGAAAAAATGAGTGATATAATATATGTATGTATATAAGTATGTAGGACTCCAGTGTTTTACAGTATTAAGTTAGGGCCTAGAAGAATACAAGTTGTTACAAAGGAAGAATCTTACTTTAATCAGGGTGTGGTAATACATACCTTTACTTCCAGCACTTGGGAGGCAGAGAGGTGGATCTCTGTGAAGTTAAGGCCAGCCTGGTCTACCTAACAAGTTTTAGGCCAGCCAGAGCTATATCTTTTTTTTTTTTTTTTTTTTTTTTTGGTTTTTCGAGACAGGGTTTCTCTGTGTAGCTTTGCGCCTTTCCTGGAACTCGCTTTGGAGACCAGGCTGGCCTCGAACTCACAGAGATCCGCCTGGCTCTGCCTCCCGAGTGCTGGGATTAAAGGCGTGCGCCACCACCGCCCGGCCAGAGCTATATCTTAATACCCTGTCTTTAAAAAATTAAAATAAATTTTTAGAAAATCTTATTTTAAATTATAAAGCTACCTATTTTATGACTGTAGGATCAGATACATTCCAGTTACTAAAGACTGCCATTTTCAATGATTTTATTGTATTTTGTGTGTGTGTGTGTGTATGAATGTTTTGCCTGCATGTATGTCTATGCACCACATGCATGCCTAGTGCCCAGGGAAGCTAGAAGAGGGTGTCAGATCCCCTAGAACTGGAGTTATAGACAGTTGTGAGCCCGTGTGACTGCTAAGAATTGAAACCAAAGTCTTATGGAAGAGTAGCCAATGCCCTTAACCACTGGGCCGTCACTCCACCCCAAGATCACCATTTTCAAATATATTATTGCCATTTAGTAAGGAAATAATTTGTATATTTAGGGCTTTAAAAAGTTGTGAGTTAGCATATAACCTGAAAATTATTTTTTAGGCATGGTAGACTGTTCATGTTTTTACATTAGAAATTATATTTAGCATTCTTGTGGTAGAAATTTCTTTCATTTACCTGTTTTTAATCTTATCTCACATATTTAAACATTTTGAGCGTAGGTTAATGGGGAAGAGCTTTGCTCCAAGCATGTGCCTTTCTGTAACAATTCACTGAGAGCCTTTGATTGTGAGGTTTTGGTCAATGCTATGGATTGAACTCAGCCTGAAGTGCTGGGCGAGTGCCCTAGTGTTAAGCCACATCCCAGCTACTTTGGTATTTTTATTTTGTGACTGGGTCTTTGTTGCCATGTTGCCTAGGTTGGCCTTGAGCTTTTACTCTGTAAAGCAGGCAGGCCTTAGCCAGACGGTGGTGGCACACGCCATTAATCCCAGCACTCGGGAGGCAGAGCCAGGCGGATCTCTGTGAGTTTGAGGCCAGACTGGGCTACCAAGTGAGTTCCAGGACAGGCGCCATAGGATTTAGTGGTGGCCTGAGTGTGCTTTCATCAAACTTAGGGGAGTAGTACCTGTCCTGACATCTTTAGAAATCATGATGGCCTCTGTGGTGGTTAAGGCAATGAAAGAAAGATCAAGGAGCTGAGAAACTGAGGAGCTGGCTCAGTTTAGTGAAGTGATTGCTGTGCAAGCCCAGGCCCTCAGATGGGTTCTCCAGGCCTGCCTAACACCCACCTCTAACTGAATGTACACACACAGTGAGCATACATGCTTACACTTGTGAACACACACCTGAACGTATGTGAGCATGCACATGAACACACACACACACACACACACGCACGCACGCACGCACGCACGCACGCACACACACACGCACGCACGCACGCACGCACACACACACACACACACACACACGCACACACACACACAGATTCTGGTCCCACATTTTTTTGTTTATTTGGTAAGACACTCCCACCACGATGTGCTCCCTCAGCACAGGCCCAAATGACTGCAGACTAGAATCTCTGAAATTACACATTAAAATAAAGTCTTACTGTAGGCAACCTTTTAAGTCTGAGTTCACTAGGGCCTCATATAGCCATCTGGTTACTGTCTATTTCACCTCTGGCTGGGTCTGAGATGCTACTGCTGGTACCTGAGGAAAGAAATCTCATGATGGAATTGTAGGTTCAAATAACAAAAATCATGCTCAGGTTGTTTCCTGAGCCATCGAGATGTCTCAGCAGGTAAAGTCACTTACTGCCAAGTCCCACAGCCAGAGTTGCATTCCTAGAACCCACACAGTAGAAAGAGAGATGTGACTCCTCATGTGTTCCTCTGTTTCCCACATGCATGCTGTGGCACACATGCATGCACACGTGCAGGCAGACATATACACAAAACAAAAGAAATTTTTTGTAATTGTAGTGGTTGGAGTTAAGAGCTACCAGATGATACTGACATAAACCCCAAAATGGCATGAGCAGAAGTACCCTTACTTGGGCAACCTAAATGACTCTCCTGTTCACCCCCGTGGGCATTAGTTTTTCGAGTCATGCTAATTTTTGTGATGTGTTTGTTCCTCTCAGATTCTTCCTCTATTTTCTGCATTTTTGCTTTGCTTTTTATCTTTATGTTGCCTTTTTCTCCTCGGCTTTTACAAGTCACTCTGTTCCACTCAGACTTCTACAGCAACAATGGAGTAAAGCTTTCAGGCTCAAGCTCATGTAACTCTTAGTTTTGAGGGTGATACTCAGAGTGTGGTCCCAGACCAAGGATGGAACATGCAAATCACTTGGGACCATTCTAGAAATGCAGGTTCCATTCTATCCAGTCCTCCTCAGAAACTGGTGGTAGGAACCAACAATCTGTTCAGCATCCCTGTTCAGCATCTTACATGAAACAAAGAAAAGAGCCTTACCAATGGGGGTGAAGACAGTGTAGAAAGGCCTGAGTTCCTGCTGCTTCTGTGGTAAAACCAGCTTGACTGGAGAGATAACATATGCCTGTGGGGATTCTTGAATGTTTGTTTCCCAGAGCAACTGTTTTCATTTAGGAATGGATGAATCTACTTTAAAAAGTTAATAATGAAAGGTGTGTGTGTAGGGGTGTGTGTGTGTGTGTGTGTGTGTGAGAGAGAGAGAGAGAGAGAGAAATTTATAATACTTTTACAATCTATCTTTTATCTCTATAAAACATTTTGAATTCTAATACATTTTCAGTAGGCTTGTATAATATTTTAAAGTAACAATGAAAGAACACCGTTTATTTAGATTACTATAATTTGACAAGAATATTGAGTGAATTCAGTTCTAGATAGTAACTTAAAAGATCTTATCTAGGGCTGGGGACACTGGATTGGATCCAGTATCAATGCTTAAAATAAATCTTACCCTTGCTTATTTATAAACTACACTGTTGCTGAAGCTGGTTGATTCCAGTTTTCTCTCAACCTGATAGATAAAACACTTTTGCAAATTTGTATGAAAGATCTAAAAAAGAACTAAGCTACCACTGCACTGGCTACAGAGAGAAATAAAGTAAATCTCTTTCCAGTGGGCAAATGAGGTACGATGTAGGTATTTCCCTCTGAGGCATTATTACTATAAGGAAATAATTCTGTTATTATAAGAGAAGTACACAATGCAGTCTGATCAGAATATTATCCCAATCGTGTGTAATTCAGCCTTTTATCTTCTGGACAAGATCTATTTTTAGCCATAAGCCAAACCAACTCACATTGCCATCTGGAGCAAAGTAAAGACAGTAAAGACAAAAGAAGCCCAAGTCAGAGGAGTAGGGTGATTCTGTGTGAAATGGGGGCTGTCTGTGTCTTGCTAGCCTCGTCAGCATCCTGCTGGTACTGACTTGTGCCCTGACTTTGCAGGTCTGGGTTGACGAGGTCAGAAGGCTGGTGTACTTTGAAGGCACCAAAGACTCTCCTCTGGAGCATCACCTGTATGTGACCAGCTATGCGAACCCTGGTGACGCGGTGAGGCTGACGGACCGAGGCTACTCACACTCCTGCTGCCTCAGCCAGGTGCTGTGTCCCCGTTGGGAGGGGTCCTGTCATAGAAAAGCCCTGTGTTCGCATACCACTCATTCCCTTTGAGTAAAGTGACAATTGGGGACACTGGCCCATAGAAGCCTTGTCTAGGCCGAGCATCGTGTGTCTGCATCGCTGCCAAAAGCCCCAGTGTCTTCCTGCCCCAGCGTTGGCGTGTACAAGCATGGGTGGCTTTCCTTGGCTTTCCTGTGGAAAATTGTTGTTGTCTCTCTTTTCTCTAGCACTGTGACTTCTTTATAAGTAAGTACAGCAACCAGAAGAATCCGCACTGCGTGTCCCTCTACAAACTCTCAAGTCCTGAAGATGACCCAGTTCGGAAAACAAAGGAATTTTGGGCCACCATTTTGGATTCCGCAGGTACTCTTTCCCCTGAACCTAGGCTTAACTAAGATTGGTACCAGAGTGCACTGTGCTGATGTCCTGTGACCATGTCTCTTGGGCTGTCTTCCCATTGCTCAGCCCTCCCTGTCCCTGAGCTGCTGAGCTTCAGGTGGACCTCACTTCCTACTCTGTAAACTGCTGAATGAGCTGGGTTTCTTTTCCTCCAAGCAGGAGCATGTCTAGAAAGCCTTTTGGAAAAGCAGATTAAGATAATGTATTCTAAACTTAGGAAGGCCCTTTGAACATCGAGAATGACCCTTTAGGGAATGACTCGTTGGCTGCTTTCTGTGGGTTTCAAAGTCTTTGCAGGAACCGTCTTAATAGTAGCCAGCATACTTGCTCACTGTGAGAGCCAAGAGCACTGCTGGAGAAAGACAGGCTCTCATTCTGTAGCCCAGGCTTGACTTGACTGTGAACCCAGACTAGCCTTGAACTCAACAATCCTCCTGCCTTGGCCTCTGGGTGCTGGTATTTCAGGCAAGAAATGCCGTGTGACTTACTTTTCAAACCTCGCTTTCTGTTCTTTTCACATTTTTTTTTTTTTTTTTTTTTTGGAGACAGGGTTTCTCTGTGTAGTTTTGGTGCCTGTCCTGGAACTCACTCTGTAGCCCAGGCTGGCCTCGAACTCACAGAGATCCGCCTGCCTCTGCCTCCCGAGTGCTGGGATTAAAGGCGTGCACCACCACCGCCCTACTTTCTGTATTAGTTACTTTATACGTTGCTATGGCTGACTACCTGAGAAAAGCAGCTGAGGAAAGGTTGATTTTGACTCACAGTCTAAAATGAAGGCATGGTGGCAGGAGCTTAAGGTGACTGTCACATTCAACTTGCTTTTCCCTTTTTATTCTGTTAGGGACCCCAGCCTAAAAAATACCATCCCCATTTAGAGTGGATCTTCCTCAATTAACTGAATCTGAAAAATCCCTCACAGACATGCCCAGAGGTTCATTTTCACAACTGACAAGATCACCTATCACCATCTTTTTAAATTTTTATTTGTGTGTGTGTGTGCCAGTGTGCCACAAGTATGTGGGTATGTGTGCCATAGAGGCTAGAAGAGGGCTTTGGCTCCCTTGGAGCTGGAGTTCCAGGCAGTTGTGGTGCCTGGTGTGGGTGCTGGGAACTGACCTCGGGTCCTCTGGAAGAGCAGCAAGTGCTTTTACCTAGTGAACCACCTTTCCAGCCCTCCAATGTCAGGAATAGACCTTTTTATATGTCTTTAAATCACTTATCTTCAAATTGATTTTCATTCATTTGCTCTTGACTAAGAGATTAAAGCATTAATGTGGGGTTGGGGAGATGGCTTAGTGGGTAAGAGTGCTTGCTGTCCTACCGTGAAGTCCTATTCAGATCATCAGCACCATAAAAGCCAGGTATAACTGTGCCTGCAACTCAGCACTGGAGAGGACATAGGTAGATCCCAGGAGCTTGCTAGCCGGTCAGCCTCACGGAAGTGCAAGCTTCTGATGCAGGGAGTGTTTCCAGGCCATAAGGTGGAAATGGATGAAGGAGGACACCTGATGCCTTTCTTTGGATGTCACCTAAGTGCACAGGCATCGGAACCTGAACACTCGCATCTGCACCCCCCACACACACACACATCATATACAACACACACAAATAATAATAGTAAGCTTAATCTTAGCGCTCAGGAGACTGAAGCAGGCGGATCTCTTTGAGTTCAAGGCCAAACTGATCCACAAATGAAGTTCCTGGACAGCCAGGGCTATGTAGCAAGACCCTGTCTAAAAACAAAACAAAACAAACGAACAAACAAAAAGTAAATTTTTTTAAAAAACTTAAACTAGTAAAGACCAAAGTGTTTGTGCATATTTTAAAGTTGAGGAGCACAGTTGGCCATATGGTAATAATCTCTGCTTGATGGTAACAGCACTGTGCATAGCACTGAGGGTCGTTTGATAGAGCTTTGGTGAGCCAGAGTCTGGAGATTACTTTCTTGTTTCTAGGTTCTGGTTGGCTTGATCAGAAACAAGTGTGTGTTGAACACCTGCTATGAGTAGGCTACATTGACTAAGTTAAATACAAGGTTCTTGTTCTCTACCTGCAACTTATTGAAATATGTGCCTATTGCTGATCAGGTGTGTGCCTTAACCACCAATAAGTGAAGACTGAACTTAGCACTAGATATTTGTTTAGCTCTGCATGTAAACACCTCCTAGGTGCCAAAGGTTACTCAAAATTCAGTGTGTCTGAATCTGAAAAAGACAGTTTGATATTCGTTGGTTTTATTTTAAAATGTCTGTTTATTACAAACTGATAACCTGAGAGAGGGATAGTTGTTGGGGGAGGAGAGCTGAGTTTTGATGCTTTCTTCTTTGAGTTCAGATTGCAGGGTGCCTCTGAGAACTCCTTTACAGGCTCTGTTGTTACCCACAGGTCCTCTTCCCGACTATACCCCTCCAGAAATTTTTTCTTTTGAAAGTACCACTGGATTTACACTGTATGGGATGTTGTATAAGCCTCATGACCTACAACCTGGAAAGAAGTACCCCACTGTGCTCTTCATATATGGTGGTCCCCAGGTGAGTATATAAATTCATGTAAATATACACACATACGTACATACATATATGTTTTAGGTGATTTCTATTTTATATGTATGAATATTTTTGTCTGCACATTGATCTGTGCATCATGTGCATGCCTGATACCTGAAGCGTTCAGAAGGGAGTGTCAAGTCTTCAGGAACTTTACATTTGTGTTTATTCATTCCCAGAGTAGTTGCAGAGGTCCTGTGTTATACATATTGAGAAGAAATTAGTCCTGGTAAGCCTTCTTCTCAGGCAGAAGGAACAATAAATAAACAAGGTCCTGGAGTAAGAACTCCTTGATACTGTTGGTGCAGGATGGGGTTTAGCTTACAGTGGCAGGGGAGTAGCAGACTCTGATCTCCCAAGGCCCACATAATCTAAGGTCAGAAAGGCCACAGAGGCCATCTTAGGCTAGGGCTCAGCTCAGTGGTAGAACACGGGCCTGGCATGGTTAGGTTCAACCCCCAGTGCCAAAGTGGGGGTGGCTTTTAAATTTTTTTGGTGAAGGATAATGATAGAAGTAGGAAGGAGCCAGGCAACAGTCAGACCTCATTTACATTTTGGAAATAGCACTGTTTCTGCCTGAAGGTAAGAGTAAGAGCAGGAAGCCACCACCACCACCACCACCGGCTTTTTGTTGTTGTATGTATAGGCTTTTTTTTTTTTTTTTTTGGTTTTTCGAGACAAGGTTTCTCTGTGTAGTTTTGGTGCCTGGATCTCACTCTGTAGACCAGGCTGGCCTCAGACTCACAGAGATCTGCCTGGCTAAAGGTTTTAATTTTTATGAAGTCTGATTTGCTAGTTTTTCAATTAAAATGCTGGAAAGAGCTGAGCATGGTTAAGTGGTGTGAGAAAGGGAGGGAGCAAGAGCCCACCCTGCCCTGTCTGTGCTCTCGATGCCTAACGTCACTTCGACAGCTGCCACACTGGCTTCCAGACAGCCTGGTCTACAGAGTGAGTTCCAGGACAGGCTCTAAAGCTACACAGAGAAACCCTGTTTCAGGGAAAAACAAAAATAAAATCCCCACACATAGAGCCAGGCAATGGTGGTGCACATCTTTAATCCCAGCACTCAGGAGACAGAGGCTGGCAGATCTGAGTTCAAGGCCAGCCTGGTCTACAGAGTGAGTTCCAAGAGAGCCAGGCCTACACAGAGAAACCCTGTCTTAAAAAACCAGTACATTTATGCGATGCATTTTATGCGTGTCCAGCTACTGCTAACCACTTCTTTCCGTCTGTGCTAGTACTCCTGCCCTGTCTCCTTCACAACTTCATGTTCTCTTTTCTATTGTTATTAATAACTCCAAGTCTAGTTAGTTCTGCTTATGTGTGCTAATAACTGAATGGACAGTTCACAGAATACAGAACATATAAACAGACTTTCCTCGGTTCAGCCCCATCCCCCAGCCACTTCCAAATAATCACTCAGAGGCTTATATTATAATTGTGTGGCAATGGCTCAGGCTTATTACTAGCTAGCTCTTACATTTAAATTAACCCATATTTCTTATCCGTGCTTTGCCACCTGTGGCTTGTTACCTCATTTTCTCCATGTCTTGCTTCCTCTGCGGCTGGATAGCATCTCCCGTCTCTGCCCTTCTCCTTCCCATCATTCTGGGTTGACTTTCTCGCCTAACTTCCTGCCCAGCTACCGGTCTGTCAGCTTTTTATTAACCAATGAGAGTAAGACATATTCACAGTGTGCAGAAGGATTATTGCACAGCAGATACATGGCAGCAACTGTGTGTAGGAGGGAATACACAGACTCCTCAGTTACCAGGGAGCTCCAGCTCAATACCTTGGTGAGAGCAGATGCTCCACGTAGTATGGTGGGCAAGGAAATGGCACAGGTGCTTTAGTAAAGAGTTTGTCTTTAAATTCATGTAATAATTGTGTATGTTTATGAGATACACTTTGTGTTTGTTTGTTTGTTTGTGAGAGGAGGTCTCGCTTTATTACCCAGGCTGGCCAGAACTCCTTGGCTCAAGTAGTCTTCTTGCCTCAGCCTCTTCAGTAGCTGAGACTACAGACCTCAATGCACCTGGCCTCCCCACCCCTCTCTCATTATTTTGTATTTATATGTGTGCATGCATGATCTGTAGGGGGTTGCCACAGTGCATGTGGAGGTCGGAGAACAACTTGGTGCAGTTTTCCCTTACCTTTAATGGGTTCCAGAAATCAAACCAGTCTTGCACAGCACATTTTTTACTCACTGAGCCATTTCTCCAGTCGTCCCCCCCCCCCCCCCCCCCCCCCCCCCCCCCCCCCCCCCGCCCCAACACACCTTTTTTTTCTCTTTTTTTGACATAGAGTCTCAATGTGTAGTTCTGGCCAGCCTGGAACTCGATTTATAGATCAGGATGGCCTCAAACTCAGAGACTTTGCCTGCCTCTGCTTCCCAAGTGCTGGGATTAAAAGCATGCACCACCATGCTTGGCTCCCTCTCATTTTTATCAGAACCTCTTTTCAATATCTATCTTAGTGTCCAGCACTGTTGATTACAGTCTCATGTTGCTTTATAGCCCAGAAACTTTCTGGGAAATGTCTCTAGGCTATTTCATCGTTGTGTAGACATCATAAAGTACATGCTTACACAGACCTAGCAGGCACATTGGTGGGACTACTTCTTGCAGCGCTGACATGAAGCAAGTGTGGAGATGTGTAAGGCTGCTTCAGTGGAACTACATTGTTTTTATATGTGAATCTTGTTTTGTGTGTGACCCTGGGCACTGAGCCCAGGACTTTGCATACTAATTATTCATTCCATTACTGAGCTACACAAATAACCCTAAAATCTTTATTTATTTGTTTGTTTTGTTCTGTTTTTCAAGACAGGGTTTCTCTGTGTCACCCTGGCTGTCCTGGGTAGACAAGGCTGGCTTTGAACTCACAGAGATTCACCTGCCTCTGCTTCCCAAGTGCTTGGATTAAAGGTATGCACCACCACCACCTGGCCCTAAACTCTTTTCATTATCATTTGCAGGAAGACACTTCAAACAATGATTAAAATATAGTATAAACTGGGCCTGGTAGTTCATACCTGTAATGCCAGCTTTGAGGGAGATGGAGGCAGAGTCATGAGGATTGAAAGTTCAAAATCTGACTCACTTACTAAGTGAGTTCAAATCCAGCTGTGGCAACTTAGTTATACTCTCTTTGAAAATAAAAGTAAAAAGGGACCTAAGGATGTAGCTCAGTGGTGATTGCTTACCATGTGCAGGGCCCTAGATTCAGTCCCTACATTGGCCAAATACTCACATACACAAACACATACTCCAGTGACCTAGTTATCTCTTAGCAGCCATTGTTTGGTCCATAATTACATGTGCTGTCTTTCATAACATTGGCAGGGCAGTAGCTTGTTTACACTAATATTACCCCAAACACAGGAGTAATGCACGGTGTCCCTGACCTCGCAGGCATTAGATGACAGGAGGATCTCAGCTCCATCATGAGCCCATGGGACCACCGTTTCATGAGTGCCCTGAGCTGACGGCAACATGAACATGCCAGGTGTGACTGAATCATCTTTTCACTAGATACAACTCCATTTCTAATAAAGCACCTATAGCTTCGAATGTTAAATGGCCATTTAATAAAAAATCCTGGTACCAGATACTGGTGTAAATGCTAAAAGATCAGAGAGACAAAGGAACAAGCCACCTCTTACCTCTAGGACTTCTCAGCCTGAAAAAGCCTCAGCTGATAGACCTCTAGCCAAATGAGCCTCCTCAGCTGAAAAGGCTTCAGTTCCTGTCTCTTCACGCCTTATATACCTTTCTCCACCTAGCCATTAAAAAAGTGTGTGTGCTTCCCAAGTACTGGGATTAAAGGTCTGTGCCACCACTGCCTGGCTCTGTTTCTCTCCTAGACTGAATCAATCTCCTGTAGTCCAGGGTGGCTTTGAACTCACAGAGATCCAGACGGATCTCTGCCTCCCGAGTGCTAGGATTAAAGGTGTGTGCCACCACTGCCTGGCCTCTGTGTTTAATCTAGTGGCTTTTTCTGATCTCTGATCTTCGGGCAAATTTTATTAGGGTACACAATATATCACCACAGCCACCAAGATGCATTTATGTTCTTGGACACTTTGAAGTGTAGTGTCTAGGGTGATAAAGTAATTTAAAAATTATGATACTTTCACACTAATTTGTCTAACAGGAAAAAGATAACTGGGCTGATGACAGTGTTCATTAAAACGCTACATCTTGCCAGGCAGTGGTGGTGCAGCAGCTTTCTCTGTGGGGTAATCCTAATTATCTGAGCTAGAATGAAGTCTGCAGTTGTGTGGTGTTTGCTGTGAAGGCTTGAGAGAGAAACTAAGCATGGGGCAGCATAAACACGCAAAGACTTGAGGAAATTTAAAATGTGTATCTTTACGCTTACAGTTTAAAGGCAGAATAATAGTAAGTACACTCAGCTTTCTGGCTTTTGCAGTGCCTTTCCTTCCATCTCATGGTTTGTGTGCTGCCATGTGATGTCGCTGAAGCTGTGTTTCTTTTCCAGGTGCAGCTGGTGAACAATCGATTTAAAGGAGTCAAGTATTTCCGCCTGAACACCCTGGCCTCCCTGGGATACGTGGTTGTGGTGATAGACAACAGGGGATCTTGTCACCGAGGGCTGAAATTTGAAGGCGCCTTTAAATATAAAATGGTGGGTGAGCAGAGAACATTCTCTTTTCCAGGTGTTTTCATTTTCTTACACTTTATTCAAGTTGGGGGAGGCTCTGAGTGACAGTGAGAGAGAATGTGTTAGAACAGAGCAGCGGGAAGAAACGTAGTTTGGTTTACATTAGACTCGCTCCTGTCGACCTGTATATACTTCCCAGGAGCTGAGGCACAGCCACTTCTGCAGAAGAATGCCCTTTCCAGTTAGTACTCTCTCCCCAGCCACAAGGCAGCCCCGTTTAGTTGGCAGAGTCCCACATGCTACTGAGGAATCACTAAGATTGGTTCTGTCCTCTGTGAAGAGGGAAACCGACTGGGTAGTTCCTTCCTTGTGACAAGCCTCTTTCTCTCTGCAGGAAGCTTTAATTGCTACCTTTTAGAGATGCCCCAGGTCCTTCCTGCTGCTTTGGGAAATGATGACAGTCCGATGTTCCTTTTGCACAGTAAGGCAGTCCCTGTGGCTGCCAGTGTGTTGGACATGCTGAGTAAGACATGGGATGGTCTCCCACAGCCAGTTCTTTGACCTTATGTTGTTTTCTCATGTAAGTTTTTGTTGTTGTTTATTTTTTGGTTTGGCTCAGTGAAGTGAGACTGTGTGCACTGGCAGGCCCAGTGATACCTCGGGTGGTACTGGTAGGAATTAGGACATCCAAAGCTTTTTTAGAAGTGTCATGCTGGGAGAAAGGAAGTTCGGGCCTTCCATTTGGGTAGTGAATGCCCTTTGCTTTACTGCATTAACTGCTAAAAGGAGAGGTAAAATTAATCAGTCTCTCAAAGGGCTGGATTTCCATCTTTGGGTAGAGGAAGGCTTGTTACAAGGAAGTTGCTGGCCTCTTAGCAGACGACAGAACAAATGGAGGCACCCTGCAGCCAGGGACAGCATGGGCAGTGACAGGAAAGGACTTGAAGACTGTGTTGAAACTAAACTCCCGACAAGGTAGCGGCAGAAGCAGCAGGCCCTTAACCTATAAAGGCATTTTTGTTTTTCTTTTTTAATTTCTTGAGGGAAAATAGAATATCGGTTGTTAACCAACTCTAATCTGAAAAAAGAAACCCTCCAGGAATTCTTAGTGAAAACATGAAGCAGCTTTAAAAGAATTCTTTAAGACTAGTATTGGTCAGAACCAGTGAGCTATGCCCCCATTTTTGACAGGGTCAAATAGAAATTGATGACCAAGTGGAGGGCCTCCAGTACCTGGCGTCTCAGTATGACTTCATTGACTTGGATCGTGTGGGCATCCACGGCTGGTCCTATGGAGGCTACCTCTCCCTGATGGCATTAATGCAGAGATCGGATATCTTCAGGGTATGTGGCTACTCTTCTATTTGTTTTTGTAATTAGGCAGAATTCTCTGTTAATTGAAGATAGAAATGATTTTTCTGACGGGCCAGGTATCGTCAATATGTAGAATGCTGGGTTTATGTTTTACACATGGGAACTGTATCTCTAGCTTTAACATAGCTCTTAAAACCGTTGTCAGGTTGGTCACCAGTTTATAACTACTTCTATATGCCACAGATGGATAGTTATGATTAGTAAAACACACATAAGCGGGCGGTGGTGGCACATGCCTTTAATCCCAGCACTCGGGAGGCAGAGCCAGGTGGATCTCTGTGAGTTCAAGGCCAGCCTGGTCTACAGAGCAAGATCCAGGGCAGGCACCAAAACTACACAGAGAAACCCTGTCTCGGAAAACCAAAAAGAAAAAACCAAAAAACAACAACAAAAAAAAAACCCCAAAAAAACCCCATAAAACCCACACATATACTTACTTCCTGGATTATAGTTACTTGTTTAATTACTAAACTACACCTTTGCCCTATGCCTGGTATATTCTCAACAGCTGCAGTGCTAAACACATGTAAGACCTCAATAGATCTGTGTCCAATACAGGGCCTGGACTGGGTCTTCAGCACTTAAAAGTAATCACGTTGAATGAACTGAAAATTTTTTTTAATTTCTTTCTTTCTTTTTTTTTTTTTTTTAATAGTGGGGTTTGAACCTAGGACCTCTTGTATGCTGAAGCACATGCTCTACCACCAAGCTACAGACCCAGCTCACTGGGTGAACTGAATATTTACATGCTTATAATTCTTCAAATTCTTAGAACATTATACTAAAGAAAATATATAAAGATGATAGTCACTAAGAAAATAGGGATGAGTGGATAGATGAGATGTCTGCAGGTAAGGCTGCTGCCAAACCTGAGTTTGAATCCCAGGACTCAAATGGTGGAAAGAGAGGACCTCCTAAAAGTTGTCCTCTGACCTCTACAGCCATGCCATGGCACATGTGCACCCACACAAATTCACACATTCTTGTGCACACACAAGATAAAGAAAAATGTTATTTAATGTTAGAAAAAGAAGAATAAAATAAAAATAAAATAAAAATAAAAATTTAAAAAAAAAAAAAAAAAAGGAAGAAAGGGTCTCATGAGGTGGCTCAGGTAAAGTACCCGCCAAGCCTGATGGACTGAGTTCAGTGCCCTGACTCAGCGGAAGAAGAAACTCTGACCTCAGATGAGTGACCATACACACAGGCAGCTAAGTGTAAGCAAGGAAAAAAAGTTAGCAAAGATGTGAATAAAGAGCAGCAGTACTTTTTTTTTTTTTTTTTTGCTTTGTTTTTTTTTTTTAAGACAAGGTTTCTCTGTGTAACAACCCTGACTGTCCTGGAACTCTGTAGACCAGGCTGGCCTCAAACTCACAGAGATCCACCCTCTTCTGCCTCCCGAGTGCTGGGACTAAAGGTGTGCACCATGCTCTGCTAAAGAGCAGTGATTTTTATGTCCGTAACATGATTTTATTTTACAATGAGAAGTTTATCTTTTGTTTTGAGGGATTGTTTAGAGACAAGCTGGCTCTTCTTGTGTAGCTGAAGAAGATCTTGAACTTCTGACCCTCTTGCCTCTCCCTTCTGAGTGCTGGGATTACAGGCGTGCACCACTGTGCCCTGTTTATGATGAGAAGTAATCTTTAGGAACAAAATAGTCAAGCATAGTCATACACACCTGTAGTCCTGGGACCTGGGACAGAGAAACAGAAGGATTGCCAGCTTGAGGCCAGCCTGGGCTACATAAGGAAACACTATCTTTAAAACAAAGAAAGTTAATTAGAATATCTGAATATAAAACTACATAGGAGCCTTAAATGTGGCAAGTTTTACTTGAGTATAGTCCAATTGTTGTTTAAATTCTGTATTGCGAAAGAAAAAGACAGAAAAAAGAAAGCTACCAATGTGAAGCAGTAGGTGCTTTTTCTCTGTGACGTTGGCAGTTGTCACACCTGTTTCCAGTGGGGTGGTTTGCCCAGAGGTCTTCACACACTCCTTCAGATCTGCTTTGAATAAAAGAGACTCACAGTTTGTATTTCAGCTGTCCCAGGTTTAGAGGTTGATGCTGGTTGTGCCTGTGAGACAAGAAGCTGATTGACTCACAGAGTATCAGATTTATGACCTTGGCACCCGATTTCAGGTTTCTGCATGTCCTGAGATGTGTGCCCAGTAGCAGGGACTGAAACCTTGCAAGGATAATTTTAGCTTATACATTTGCTGTTGTAAGTTCTCTCTGCTAGCACTCTTTTCTGGGACACAGCTGACTGTCCATATTGTCATATGCAGGTTGCTATTGCTGGGGCCCCAGTCACTCTGTGGATCTTCTATGATACAGGATACACAGAACGTTACATGGGTCACCCTGACCAGAATGAACAGGGCTATTACTTAGGATCTGTGGCCATGCAAGCGGAGAAGTTCCCCTCAGAGTAAGTTCACGCTTGAAAATGAAGCCTCTCAATTTTAAATGGTGGTTTTTTTTTTTGGTTTTTCGAGACAGGGTTTCTCTCTGTGTAGCTTTGTGCCTTTCCTGGGACTCACTTGGTAGCCCAGGCTGGCCTCGAACTCACAGAGATCCACCTGGCTCTGCCTCCCGAGTGCTGGGATTAAAGGCGTGCGCCACCACCGCCCGGCTTAAATGGTGTTTTAAAAACTTTAAGAAGGATGATAAAAACTACTGAAAATTAAAACTAAAGCTAATGTTTTATAAATACTAGAAAGTTCCTTTTTCTGCTTCCTCAGTACTGGGGATTGAGTCCAAACCATTGCGTAGACACTTCGTGTTCCACCACTAGCTGCTAAACCGCTAGAGCAGAAGGGTGTCACTCGGAGGCAAATTAAAGTTTAGATACTGATTGGGATTAGGATTAGGTTTTAATATGTATTTGTGATTATTTATTTATCTTTATAAATAATATTTGAAGCGGTTGCTTACACTGAAAGAATTTAAGTCCGTAATTGTGTCAAAGTGGAAGGAAGTCTGTGTCAGCGACAGTGTTTTCACAAACGTGTTCTAGGAACATGCAGTAAGTATTAATAAGAAGCTGAACATGCTTTTCTGTTCATTCTTCAGTACACGTGGCATCTGGTTACTATATTACAGATTTAATATTGAAACTAATGAGTCCTCATCCTAACAGTACAGTAACGTTAACTGTCGTTAGTTTAAAGGAGCTAAGTGGTCAACCCTAATGCTCTTCTTCTGTCTTGCCTAATCCTTCAATATTTGTATTCCTCCAGACCAAATCGCTTACTCCTCTTACACGGGTTCTTGGATGAGAACGTTCATTTTGCACACACCAGTATATTGCTGAGTTTTTTAGTGAGGGCTGGAAAGCCGTATGACTTACAGGTGAGTTGTTCCACATTTTTAAATTCAGTGTGGTGGCAGATAGTGAAAGATTACTCTGAAACCTAACAAAATGAGGACAGTCTGTTTTCAGCTGTGTCTACACTCTGCCCAAGAACACCAAAGTAATCGGTATAGTTACCAATCTTTAGTGGATAAAAATTAAGATTCTACTGAAGGCTGACTGAAACACGGACCTATCCAATCACATGGCTTATATGTCTATGTTTGTTCAGCCTGTGGTCCTGGAAATGGCTGCTGGACCCCTCACTGTCTTCCTTTGCTTCTGTTCTCCCTCTTAATGGGTGAGGAAATACTACATGATCTCCTTGTTTTAAGAGGGGTACAGACACAAAGAAACCCTGTCTCGAGAAACCAAAGAAAGAAAGAAAAGAAATTTAAAAAAATAATAAAACTAATCCCAACACTCAGGAGGCAGAGGCAAGTGGATCTCTGTGAGTTCAAGGCCATATAGAATGAGTTCCAGGACAACCAAGACTGTTCAAAGAGAAACTCTGTCTTGAAAAACCTAAATAAATAAATTAAACGCTCTGAAAAAAAAAAAAAAAGAGGGGTTCAAAGACTTGATTGTGGAGCTGCAGAGGCGGGTGATACTTACCTCGGGCACCTAGCAACTGCCTATAACTGCAGCTCCAGGAGACCCACCACCCTCTACTGGTCTCCGTGAACTCTTACATGCAAGTGGTGCATATCCATACACTTAGACACACACACACACACACACACACACACACATGCACACACACAAGCGCACATAAAAGATAAATAAATCTTTTTTTTAGACCTGATTATGAGATCATTTACTGTTCTTTTCTTTTACAGTGTCATGTGAATAAATGTTAATGGGTTACCCTCCTTCATAGCTTCCTTATGCGAAATAAATAAACAAATAAATAAGATTTTTGAGAGGCCGGGTGGTGGTGGCGCACACCATTAGTCCCAACACTTGGGAGGCAGAGGCAAGAGGATCAAGAGCACAACGCTACATAGCAAATTAGAGGCTAGGCTACATGAAATACATTCCCCCCAGAACAAATGTGTGTGCGCGAGCGTGCGACTCTTGGTCCTTCTTGTTCCTTAAGATTATATGTTCATGAGAAAGTATAACCTTTCCTTTTCTTTCGATGTTTCAGTTGACATTTCTATCCAGTTAAACTGTGAGATATTTGTCTATAGTAGCAGTTTTCAAGCCTTTTGATCTCCGAAGTCCTTTACATACCACAAAGCCTTGTTTATGTAGGTTATGTGTGTGGTGGGGGTGAACGTGGTAGCACATGCAGGCTAAAGCAGGAGAATCAGGAGCTGGTAGCTCATCTGGGTAGATAGCAGTTCCAGAAAGAGGCCGATCCGTAGTGAGACCGTTACTTAAAAAAAAAAAAAAAAAAAAAAAAAAAAAGATCTCATAGAGAATTATAACTTAAAGAAACATTTATTTTAAAGGAATAATAGTAAATTACTGTATGTTAACACAAATCACATTTATCTTAAGGGAAAAATAATTCCAAAACAACTTACTGAGAAAAATGCTGGTATTTTATTTTTGTTAATACTCCCTTGAAGAAGGCACATTTCTTCATTCAGTCTGATGTGTTATGTTGTTTGACTAAAGTATATGAAAAGAGACTAGACAGATGGCTCAGTGGTTAGGAGCTCTCGCTGCTCTTGAAAAGAAAGGACCTTAGTTCACTTCCTAGAATCCATATGCGACAGCTCACGAGTGCCTATAACTCCAACTGCAAGGGATCTGACACCCTCTTCTGGCCTCCATGGGGCTCCATACACATGGCACAGACACACAGAGAGAGAGAGAAAGAGAGAGAGAGAGAGAGAGAGAGAGAGAGAGAGAGAGATTTTAAATTTAAGTATATGAAGAAAAATTTGGCCTCACTAAGTATATGTTAAGAAGTGGGAGAGACCAGGTGGTGTCGCACACCTTTATCCCAGCACTTGGGAGGCAGAGGCAGGTGGATCTCTATAAGTTCAAGGCCAGCCGGGTCTACAAGATAGTTCCAGGACAGCCAGGACTGTTAAACAGAGAAACCCTGTCTCACAAAAACAAAAAACAAAAAAAGAAATGAGAGAAATGAGTTAGTCCTCAAGCTAGCTTTTGTGGAAAGCTAAAGCCATGTTTATAAAATTTTCATGCTCTGTCACATTAAAATATAGTGCACTTTGGGCTAAAGATATGGCTCAGGGGGCGCTGGAGAGATGGCTCAGTAGTTAAGAGCACTGGCTGCTCTTCCAGAGGTCCTGAGTTCAATTCCCAGCAACCACATGGTGGCTCACAACCATCTGTAATGAGATCTGGTGCCCTCTTCTGATGTGCGTGAAGAGAGATCACTCAAATACATAAAATAAACAAATAAATAAATTTTAAAAAAAGATGTGGCTCAGGGTTTAGAGCACTCGTTGCTCTTCCAGAGGACCTGGGTGCTATTCTCAGCATCTGCACGATGGCTCACCACCATCTGTAACTCTAGTTCTAGGGTAACAGTTCTCAACATGTGCATCATGACCCCTTTGGGGCTCAAATATCAGATAGTCTGTATATCAGATATTTATATTACATTTCATAACAGTAGCAAAATTATAGTTTATGATGTAATAACAAAAATAATCTTATGACTGGGGTCACCACAACATGAGGAACTGTATCAAAGGGTCACAGCATTAGGAAGATTGAGAACCACGGCTCTAGGTAGGTGGTCTTATGCTGCCCTCTGATCTCAAGCACCAGGCATACACATGGTGCACATACATGCACCCAGACAAAACATTCATACACATAAAATAAATCTGAAATATATAAATTAATCCATTGGCTCTTGACCTAGTACATCATATGGTTCTTTTTACCTTTAAATTGATACCTGGAAATACCGTGTTAGCATCTCTCAGATGTTGGCTCTTTATTGTATCATATTTTTGTTTTCATTGTTTTTGTGGGGAGTTGGTTATTTAGTTGGTTGGGTTTTTTTGAGATATGGTCTCACCCTGTATCCCTGGCTGACCTGGAACTCGTTATGTAGACTCAGTTGGCTTTGAACTCGCTGAGATCCACCAGCTTCTGCCTTCCAAGTGCTAGAATTAAAGGCACGAGCCCCATGTCCATATTTTTATAGTCCCATGCTTTAATAGTATGCAACTGAAGTGGAGTGAGCTGCTGGTTAAAACATGTAGTGCCAGGCAGTGGTGGCACATGCCTTTAATCCCAGCACCCAGGAAGCAGAGGCAGGCGGATCTCTGTGAGTTCGAGGCCAGCCTTGTCTACAGAGCAAGATCCAGGACAGGCACCAAAACTACACAGAGAAACCCTGTCTTGAAAAATCGGAAAAAATAATAATAATAATAATAATAATAATAATAACATGTAGTTTAAGGGTTAAAAAGATGTCTACACCAGGGTTCTAGTTTATAAAATTCTGATTTTTTTTTACTACCACTTAAATGAAAATGGCATGTTTCTTTTTAACTACATCTGTGTGATAGAGATTACTGTAGCTCCCAGGATAATATAATGCCTCACCTCATGCCCTGCTAGGACACCACCACTTGAATTTATTAATTTTGTGTTGGTAGAGCAGCACAGTAAATCAGTGAATGAGCACATCAAGGCCAATGGTGTCTACAGATTTTTTTTAACATAGTTTTTTGTGTTGTTTGATTTGTTTTTTGGGACAAGATTTCATTATGTAGGGCCAGGTAGGCCTTAATTTCATGATCCTCCTTCCTCCACCTCCCATATGCTGGGTTGAAGATAGTTTAGACCTTGTATGGCATTTGAAATGGTTTCCAAGGACTCAGGCACACTCATGCAATGAACCACTAAAGAATCCTCCTGAAGCCTTATTGGGTAGGTGTATAAAGACTCATAAGAAGAGCCTTGGGATGATATGTGTTAATGTAATACCACAGAGAGACCATGTTCCATATTGACAATCTAGTTAGAAATCTCTGGAAAGTGTCCTGGCATGTGGGCCCCAGAGACAGGAGGATCCAGAGTTTGAGGTTATCCTTGGCTACATGGTAAGTTTTAGTTCAGCCTGGGCTACATGAAATCCAGTCTTAAAAAACAATATATAAATAAATGACTATGTCCAGAAAGTTTTGGAAAGAGGAGCATCACTAAACTTTCTCTTCTCGCCTCTGCTCTTTGTTGTGAAGATCTACCCTCAGGAGAGGCACAGCATCAGAGTCCCTGAGTCCGGAGAACATTATGAACTGCACCTGCTGCACTACCTGCAGGAGAACCTTGGATCTCGTATTGCTGCTCTGAAAGTGATCTAACTCTGACTTGTGTAGAATGCGGTGTGCACTGTCTAACCAAACAAGGAGGGTTAGTCAGTACAGAAGCCAGAGTGGATGAGCGTACTTTGGTACCTGCCATGTAAGACCTACTTCTGAAAGTAAATTTGGTGCCATGCAGAAATCTGCAGTTAATGGATAGTAATCTAATACCTTAACCATGCACACAGAACTGAGTGACGTATTTCCAAGAGATTCAGCAGTACCATGAGGATACTGAAAGAAGCAAGGCACCAGCGCCACATATTCACACTAGCCTATTTTCACTTTCACTAGCAGTTTAAGCCTCCTGGACTTCATTAGTGGATTTTATAGTATACTTCTGAGTTTGTTAAAAATATGATGATAGTAGTGATTGGTTTGGTTCAATTCCAGGATCTCTGACTAGTTATGGATTCGATAGCACTTCCGTCTAATCGAGTAGCTTATGCTTCGTCACTTGGGGTGTATCCAGCATGTCATGAACTAATTACTATTAAGCTTATGACTTTCCCAGTCATTAATGATTTTTCAAGGATAACTTAGTGACCTCCTAAAGATACTTACTTGGGCTCTGACAAGTTTTTAACCAATTTAAACAGCATCTAGTATAAATAATTCTCCCCTTTCTTTGATATGATGGAGTGGGGTTTCCTTTCACACAAAGACAAGGGACTGTGTAGCGTGAGTCTAATCACAAGTCTCACGATCTTGGCAATTACAGGCAAAAAATTTTCAATCAAATTATTTGAGAGCTTGAAAATTAGCAGGCAAGTTTCTTTCTCCTTTTAGGAACAGAAAGTGTATACATTCATTTGTATTCTGAAAATGTAATGCTGCCCATTTTCATTTGACCTTTCCTTTACTAAAGTGGTCCAGAGTTTCCAGGAGGTAGAAGGGTTACGGTGGGAATGGGGAGACCCTGGTGCAGGGAATGACAGAGACAGGAGGCAGCAAATCCCTGCTTAAGAACTGAGCAGAAATAGTTCAGCAGAAATACTCCTGAGAAGAGCTGGGTCAGTGTCAACTCCCTGAGTGGCTGGGAACCACAACCAGGAAGGTAGGCTTTGCGGCACAGCTGTAGTACAGGGGTGACATTCAGAGGGGTACTTTTACAATTCCAGCTTTTGTTATTTTTCCTTTCCACTTTAGAAACCTTACACATCTAAATTTTAACTTTTTTGTTTGTTTGTATTTTGGTTTTTCAAGAGAGGATTTCTTTGTGTAGCCATGGCTATCCTGAAATTCACTCAGTAGATCAGGCTCAGAGATCCACCTGCCTCTGCCTCTTGAGTGCTGGGATTAAAGGTGTGCGCCACTACAACCCAGCTAACCTTTTTATTTGAATGTAATTTAGATATGGCTAGCTTAAAATAAAAAGTTTCCAGACCACTTCTTTGCTGTAAGCTAACCCCTGACAAACCATGGCGCTCTCAGTGCTGAAAGCCTAGCTGACAGATTTTTTACTCGGCCATAATATTCTCCTGGTTTAGGAGCACACTAGTTTCAAGTGCTGATTGGTGTCTGCCCTTCAGGGCCTTCCAGTATTAGATGGGTCCCATTGGAGCCAGGCACCTGTGGGTTTGACCCTTTTTAATCACAAACTCCAGTGTTTAGGAAGTTACAATAATTTAAAAATCACTCCAAGAAAACTTGCTGTGTTTCTTTCTGCCTGCCACAGCAGGTCCCTTCCCAAGAGCAATCTGCATTAGTGAGGATGATAGCAGTCGGATCAGAGGTGGGCGGCTCAGGAAGCCTGGGAATGACAGGTGACCATGGGCTTCTGTCCTCGGAAAGGGAGGGCTGGTATCTGCTGGCTGTGTATTTATGTTGTATGATAGAGTCCACATTTTTTTCTTATTGTCTATTTTGATTTTCTTGCTTATGACATTTTCTCGTGCCAAAATTTGTTTATATTTTTCAAAGTTAAATTAAACTGCTTTGGGTAACTTTCCTTCCCCTACAAAGTATTTCCCTCAAGACTTAAGTATCTGTCTTGACTGTTGAGGGTGGTATTTGCTGGACCAGCTAGCCTCCAAGGGCTGCTTCTTACATTCTAAGTAGGAGTGACATAAAGTAGCTCTCAGCTACCCTTTTGAAATCTCTCACCCTTCAGTTTGCTTCGTAACAAGACATCTCTTATTTTATGCAAACAAGCCTGAGGAGACCTCACTTATCCCAGATTCTTCTTGCCTTCTCTGCTGCTGTCACAGGAATGCATTTATAACTGTGTCATTTAAATGTCATCCTGCTTCTCTAAGGAGGAACGTGCTTTGCTCCCTTGCACAAAGGTGGCGTGACTGACTGGGTTTGCTTGTCTACACCGGTGTGAGAGCCGTCGGTTAGATGGAGCAATCAGAAGTCACTCTAACGCTGTCTTCTGACTGTGGGTGTCGATGAGAAGCAAGAGTCGGTGAAACTAGGGGTTTGATGGGCTCCGGGAAGCACTTGTTACACATCTAAGTGGGTTTTCACTTGGTGACAAGTGTGCTCGAGCAGCAGGTGGAGCTCCTCAGCATCCAGAGCAGCAGGTGGAGCTCCTTGGCATCCAGAGTGGCAGGTGGAGCTCCTCAGCATCCAGAGCAGCAGGTGGAGCTCCTCCTCAGCATCCAGAGCAGCAGGTGGAGCTCCTCAGCATCCAGAGCAGCAGGTGGAGCTCCTCAGCATCCAGAGCAGCAGGTGGAGCTCCTCCTCAGCATCCAGAGCATCAGGACTCAGGTTCATCCAGGACCCTGAGCTCGAGAAATGAAGTCTTGAACCTCTTGCAGAGGCATGGGCTCCATCAGTTTGGGTGGAGATCAGGAACATGCATTTCTAGCGCAGCAAGCTTCCTGGGTGCTTCTAGTCAGGGCACTGTAGACTGCTTTAAGAAACTGGTCTGTAAAGAACAGGGTTGGAGTCAGAGAATGTGTGACTTTTACATTGGATGATTGTTACGAAGCCAAAACAGTAGTCAGGAAAACTGCTCGTCTGTGATAACTGTTGACCTCTTCTTGCAGAAGCAGGAGCAAGTAACTCTTTATTGGAGGGATAATGGCTTTTCCCATTCCTGACTCTCCCAAAGCCTCACACAGGAAGATGCTTCGTGATGCACATCTGGCCCTTTAAAGCCATGAGCCACAGAGGAGGGTGGGAGAGGGGGTGTATGTTTTTGTTCAGGTGTTTCCTGCCTTTACCACATGGTTCTCTTGCAGGTGGGATGATTCCAGTCAGAGCCAACACTGTTACAGAATCATAAGTTTTCCAACTGGAACAAATCTTTAACATAACCCAGTGTTCTTGTTTGCTGGGGGAAAAGACTGTTCTAGAGAGAAAAACACACCTGAGACCCCACAGTTGGTTAGTACTCAGAACCAGGCTCCATCCGTGGCCTGCCTCATGGTAGTTGTGTAATATTTAAGAAAGGCAGGTTTTTAAAAGAAGTGTTTATTAATATATTCCTATAAAACATTTTAAAGGAAACCACAAAAAATGGTTAATTTTACCTGTCTTACTCAGTGCTAAGCATGCTTATTAATGAAGCAGTACTTCTGATGAATGTGTGACATCCCAAAGTTAACTGAAATAATTACACTAAATTCCTTCCTTGGTGCCTTGGGAGATAGGGACACAGAGTGCTTGCATAGGCCCAGGAGCCCATCTTACAGCTACAAGAGCCTCAGCCTGGTCTAAACTATGTAATGTGAGAGTGTCCTCTCCCAGCAGATGGAAGGGAACTGGAAACATCCCCAACTGCTCCCTTCCCAGCCCCACCCCTCCTCGCCTGTCTGCCCTCCTACCTTTAGTGCAAGGAAGGTGCTCAGCTCTAGACAGTTGTTCTGGAAGTCCCTTGCAGACACAGAAGCTGTGTTTGCATGTTTGGTTTTAAGTAATCCTAATACAAATCTATGTTTTCAGCACAATTGGAATGGGGAGGGTCTTTAATTTTAGCGCATAAAGTGCCTGCTGTTTCAGCGCTGACCTGTACATGATCTGCATGTCTCTCTCCAGTAAGCATATGGGTCTCCTCATTTTCAGCCCCATGGCTTTTAATCGTGTGATGTGAAGCATTAGTCTCGCTGCATTTTATTACAGGTTCTTGGTTGCAATAAAGTTGCTGCTGCAATGAACTGACGTCAGTGTTCCTTCCCCTGTCCTCTTCCCCACCTCTGCAGCCTTCGCTTTGATGACTCACACCTGTGGAGTGCAGACACACAAGGGCATGTGCTGCACAGAAGGGAGATGCTGGGGTGGAGGTGCACGATTGTGGGGGAGTTCTAGTACAAACACTGACCATCTGTACTGAGTGGGAGGTGTGCAGAGCGCTGCTCAGTACCTGCCCGAGCTTCCCAGAAGCCCTCAGCCCAGATGCCAGGGCAGAGGGTGCTCGGAGCCAGGAACTAACAGATACCCCCTGAACAACTGGGGGCTTCTTTATATCACTAGCAATTGATAGGGGTTTCTGCAGGTTCTGAACGTCCTGAGAGAGTTTAGTGTGGTGCTTTCATTTTTAAGTTACACTTAATTTGTGCCATGGTATGAGTGTGGAGGTCAGAATGGCTTGTAGGAGTCAGTTCTCTCCTTCCACCATGTGGGTGCCAGGGACTGAACTCGGGTCTTCAGACTTGGCAGCAAGCACCTTTACCTGCTGAGCCGTCTTCCCAGCCCTGTGCAGGGTTTTTATCTTTGACCATTCTGAAGGTTTTACCATCCTTATTTTCCCAGTTTTGGTACAAACAGGGCCTCTGGCATGCTAGGCAAGTATTCAGCCTCTGGGCTATATCCCTAAGCCAACAATTCTGATTTTTAACAGCAAGTTGAGTTTGTCGATGTTCCAGAACACAGAGTTTGTCTGGATTCTGTGGCTCTCTGTAGTTATGTTTAAAACATCACATGAACAAACAGGATAAACCAACCGTGACTATATTAGGGTCTTCTGTATATGAAAATTAGGGATAAAAATGATCTCTAAATAAGGTAGTTTGGGGTTAGAGAGATGACTCAGAAGTTAAGAGCACTTGCTGCTCTTCCAGGAGACCTGGGTTCAAATCCTAACACTCACATAGCAGTTAATAACCATTTGTAACTTCAGTTCCAGGGCATCTAGAGTCCTCTTCGTACCACCTCTAGCACAGATCACATACATGGTTCACATAAATCCAGGCAAAACACTCATACATATAATGCACGTAAACTGAAATGTAAAAGTAAAGTAACTGTGTAATTAGTAGTTCCTAACCTTTTCACCATGTCACTCTCACACACACAAAATTATAGGCTGAGTGTGGGGATTAACGCTTTTAATCCCAGACTCGGGAGACAGAGACAGGCAAGTTTCTGTGAATTTGAGGCCAGCCTGATCTACATAGTGAATTCCAGGCCAGTTAGGACTATACTGTTTTGGGGAAAAAAAAAAAAAAAGATATGACACTAGAGTAAACTGAGACACACCAGAATTATCTATTGAGATTGTAGCCAGAAGTCACCGGCCAGGCCCAGCCCAGCCCTAAAGAAAATTTATTATTACTCTTATTACATTTATTTGTCTATTGTGTGGGTGTGCATGTGGGTGCAGAGAGCAACTTCTGGACATGTTCTGAGTCTTCAACATGTGGATTCTGGGGATCAGACTCCAGTCACTAGACTTCGTGACATGTGCTTTTAACTGAGCTGCCTCCCTGGCCCCACTACCAGGATTTGGGTCTGAATGTGCACATATTCTATTTGTGGTGCCATGACAGAAACTACCTAGTCCTTAAGTCAGCCTAGACTGACTTCTGATCAGAAAGTAGCTTCCCACCAGCCTGTATGCTGGGGTGGAGGTATTACAGGCATCAAGTGGCCACAACTTCCACAGTCACTGGAGCAAATAACTGGCCTGGAAACCCTTTCCACTCGTGTCTGGCCTGACCCCACCCACTCAGTGCATACAGCGGGCATAATTAAAGCAGCAGCAGTGTGAGAATCTTCTAATCAGAGTGTGGCTCCATTTGGGGGCTCCTGTGGTTTCAGGAATTGCTGGGATTTAAGTGCTCATCAGTCTGGCCATCCACAGATCTGATGTCCTGACTTTGCCATTCAGAAAACAAGCTGCCCTGGGAAATACAGATTTCAGCCATGACATAGGCACTGGGATTGTCAAGGTTGCTGATTGCTTCTTCCTGAAGCATGCCATCTCTAAACTGTCTTCAAGACTTGAGTTCTTGAGAGAGAAGTTAGGGAAACAACCAACTTAGCGGACCCAAGCAAGTGCCAGGAACACACACACACCTCCTTGGAGAAGTGGCCTGGTGAGGTGGTCTTGTTTAACAATCTACTCAGGTTGGGTGCAGTCCTTTCTTGAAACCACGTGGCTCTTCTATGAAGTGTGTTGTCTATGTCGGCTTAGTTAAGGAGCACATGGTCATAAATATCCCTACACTTGCATAGGACTGTTACCGTGTACAATTCAGTCTAATGCTCTGTGATGTTGGCCTTGCCAGTTAACTGCTTTGAATTAATTGTCTCTTCAGTCCAGCCCATTCCTCCTTATCCCTTCCACCAGCTCCTGCCCCATGGTAGGTCTTGTCTCATGCTGGATACCTACAGCAGCTCTCCCATTAGCCTGATGGGGGTGAAGAAAAGAACCTCAGGCAACTTTAAGGAAGCGTGTCTGAACTTTGATTCAGCAAATATTTCTCAGCAGTCACATGGCAGGCCTGTGTTAGGCCATGAAAAAGCTGAAGGAGCTGGCTCTCAGAACCAGCTGTACCACCCACCCACAGACATTCCTATAGGACCCACCATTCTGAGAGGTAAGCTAATTTACTCTCTTGCTTAACCCCCAGCACTGCCCCACTTCCCAAGCCAACCCATGGTGCACTTCATGTTCAAGACTCGTCAGGTTGGTGAGGGTGGGGACTGTAGTATACCTGTAATCACAGCACTCAGCAGGCTGAAGCAGGAGGATTACCACAAGGCCAGCCAGACTACATAGTAAGACCCTGTCTAACAAAAACAAAGCAAAGGACAGGGCTCTCAGTGAGGCCTGGGAATGGGATTCAGTGATAAAGTGCTTGTCTGCTATACCCAAAGCCCAAACTCTTGCACTTCAAAAGAAAAGAGGGGGTGGGGCTGGAGAGCTGACTCAGTGGTGTATATACAGAGTATATACTGCTCTGACAGAACCCACATCACGCAGCTGACTTCAGCTGTAACTTCAGCTCCAGGGGATGCAACACCCTCTCCTTTACTCCTCAGGTACCTCCATTCACATGGACAAACCCACACATAAACACATAATTAAAAAATATACCCAGATGGGCGTGGTGGCGCACACCTTTGATCCCAGCACCCTGGGAGGCAGAGGCAGGCAGATCTCTCTGAGTTCAAGGCCAGCCTGGTCTATGGAGAGAATTCCAAGACGGCCAAGGTGGTTACACAGAGAAACCCTGTCTATAAATAAATAAATAAGTAAATGTAACATCTGAGCAGGGCATGATGGTGCATACCTTTATCCCCAACACTGGGGAGACAGAGGCAGTTAGGTCACAAATTGGAGACCAGACACAACAAGACCTGTCTCCACATCAGCAACAACACAAGTTTACGAAGATCCGACGGGTATGACGGTATGCACCACGGTCCCACTCGGGAGGCCAATGTAGGAGGCCGACGGAGCACAAGGTTTTGAGGAAGCTTGGGCAGTATAGCAAGACTTTGTCGCAGGCAGTGGGAGGGGGCTCGGGAAGAATTGTGTCATCTGACCTAGCTTCATTTCCCCTCTCCTCAGCACCTGTGGAGGCACTTGAGGCTTTCCACTTTGAGTCAGCATGGGTCTCCATCAGAACTCTTGCCTGTATGGGGTTTGGGATTGCCGCCCAAGAGAGGTGGAGAAGCAAAATGGCACCCACATTAGCGTTCCAGCCCAGTACACCTATGCTCCCTGCTGGTTTGAGGTGTTTGGACATGGTTCTACAATATCCTGACCCTCTGCCGTCCTCGGTGTGAGATGACCATGATAAACCCTTCCTCAACAGGCCCTGCCCAGAAAGTGCCTGCTGCAGCCTTGGAGGATCCAGTGATGTTAACTCGAGTCAGTACTTCATTTTATGCCACGCTCTTCCTACTGCCTTTCTCTCTCTAGTTGGATTACAGACCCTGGAGCTAGCACTCCTACGCTAGCTGCCTTCTCAGGCTCCTGTGGAGTCAGACAAGTAGGAATCACTTGCTAGATATTTACTACCAGAATTTTCCAGGTAATAAACACATGGGCCACCGAGATGGTTCAGCAGGTAAAGGTGCTTGCCTCCAAGCCAGGTGGCCTGAGTTCAGACTGGGGACTAACGTGGTGGAAGGAGAGAGCTGTCGCCTAAAGGTTGTCCTCGGACCGCCATACACGAACCGTGGCGCGCACACACACACACACACACACACACACACACACAGTGAAGTTAATAAAAAGTAAAGGGGAGGGCTGGGGCTGGGTTCAGTTGGTAGTGTTCAGCCCCAGGCTACATTCTGGCATTTCTTCTGCACATAGCCATCAGCACTGTTCTGTTTTGTTTTGATGATATCTATTAGACTAAGGTGATGGTATAGTTTTGCCTTTCCCTGGTAGCTAATTATACTGAGTGCTTTTCATGAATTTATTAGCCATTTCTTTTTTGTTTGTTTATTTGTTTGGGTTTTGTAATTTTTTTTAATATATATGAATGGTTTGAATGAGATGTCCCCCATATTCTTAGGCATCTGAGTACTTTGTCCCCAGTTGGTGACATTGTTTGGGTAGGTTTAGGAGGTGTGACCTTGTGGAGGAAATATGTCACCGGGGGTGGACTTTGAGGTTTCGAACCCCAGGTGCTCTTTGAGTGCACTCTGTCTGCCTCCTGCCTGTGGATGGAGACACGAGCTCTCAGCTGCTGCTCTAGCCACCATGTCAGCGTTCCTGCTGCCATACTCCTGCCTGTGATGGTGATGGACTCTGGAACTATAAGCCCCAAATAAACTCATCTATAAGTTGCTTTGGTCATGGTATTTTATCATAGCAATAGAAAAGTACTAATATGAGTGTTTTGCCTGTGGGGTGTGTGTGTGTGTGTGTGTGTGTGTGTGTGTGTGTGTGTGTGTACACGTACGGATGGGATGTGTG